CCGCTCCGTCTCGCTCGTCTCCTCGTCCTGTGAGCACAGTACTGTGCGACCTTGCAGCATCCAGCGAGGCCATCCGTGTCCGCGTCACCCGGCTCCTCGTTCTCCCGCTCTCGTGGCGCTCGATGTCCTCCAAGGGTGGGTATCGCAACAATGTTACACTCTCACGACGACGACCACCGCGCCGGTACGGCTGGAACGGCTTAAGCTTGCTCAGAGTAGATCTGCGCGCGAGGCAGGGTGTCAGCGGGACCGGTGTTCGAGGGCGGAGGAGTCCGTCCTGGACGCACCTTGATCGTCTTGTCGGCGCCTCCCGTGATGAGCCGGGTGCCCGTCTGGTCGAAGGTGCTGCAGAAGATGCCCGCCTCGGCGTCGAGCGAGCCTGGCTGCGGAGTATCCTGATCCGTCTGGAAGGGCAATCCCGTCTTCCAATCCCACCAGGTAATCGACCCGTTGTCACCTGTGGGCAATACAAGGCAAGGAAAGGGGGGGGGAGAGAGAGGCAATATCCAAGGTCAGTACGCCGGATCTTCAGCAGACACAGCCTCAACGCTTGACCGTGACTGCCGAGGAAGAGCACAAAGCGGGCGATGAGAGGACAGAGAGAGACGCACCTCCGCTGAAGAATACGCCGTCCGGGTTGACTGAGATCGAGTTGATGATCGCATCATGTCCCGAGAAGTTGTGCACAAACGTCCCGTTCGGGCACGCCCACTTCTTGATGTTGTTCCCTCCCGCCGAGGCCGTCGCGAACGAGTACTCGGTCGGGTGGATCGCGATTGAGCGGACCGACTTGTGGTGGTGCGTGAGGGTCGTCATTGTTTTGCCAGCTGCGAGGTCCCAAAGCCTGTGCGCCGACATCCGTAATCAGTATCGCTGCGTCGGAGCGACAAGCCCGAGCGGGCGGAGGCAGCACTGCGGACGCACCTAACAGTCGAGTCCATACTTCCAGTGATCACCTGCGGGTCACTCTCCTGCGCCTTGACGTCCGAGATGGTCGCCGTATGGCCCGTCAAGACGTGCACCTGCGCTTTTGTTCGCATGTCCCACACGCGGGCGGAGGCGTCGCGGCCGGCGGTGATGAGGACATCGAGGGTTGGGTGGAGGCTGTAGGTGTTGAAGTCAACGGCGGGCCCCGAGCGAGCAAGAGAACATGAAATCGTCACGCACGCGAGGGAGTAGACGCCTGACAGGTGACCGTGGTAATGCCGGATAACCTTGTTCGTCTCCAAGTCCCAGCACTTGACCATCTGCATTGATAGTCAGTTCCCGCACACCGGTCAAGAGGGAGAAAGCAGGACGGGCCTTGTCTTCTGCGCAAGAGAACAGGTAGGGATGCCGGGGCGAGACGGCGAGGCCGCGGACAGTCGAGATGTGGCCGGTGAGCGAAAGCTTGAGTTCGCCCGATGCCAAGTCCCAGATCTGCGCGCACCGCGAGCTCCTCAGCATCATCTCAAGCTCCTTGACACACGGAACGCACCTTGATAACCCTGTCTCCCGCACCCGTCGCAAACCACTTGTTTCCCGGCTCGACCGCGACCGCCCTGACCCAACCCAGGTGTCCCGAAATGACACGCGTGAGCTTCCACGGCGCATGGTAGTCCGGCTTGACTTGGCGCGCTTCTCGCCGCCGGATGAGGGATTGAGAAAGGAGGGTCGGCTGGGCGTGAGAGGCGGGGAGCGAGGAGGAGGTCGTGGTGAGGGCCTGGGAGCTGCGAGAGGTGCACGAGCCATCAGTGGGAGCCTGAGACGTGCGAGAATGACTGCCGCGCACCTGAGCGACTCGACAGTCTTTGCCATCGGACCTGGAAGACGGGGGGTCGCAAACAGGCCGTTAACACGCGCTAGGGACCGCCTGAACGGGCGAGACGGAGCGCACCTTCGATAGTCAGCCTCTGCGGGCCGGTAGCAGCCTGCGGGCCCGCTGGCCGTGCGGGACCCGCTGCTCCCTTCTGCTGGGCGACGAGGGCGGCAGGCAGCACCTTGGCGTTGCGGTACTCTGCCTCGATCTTGGTCGCCAGGCGGAGCTTTGTGCTGTTCGCTCGAGATTGTCAGCTTCATTCCATGCGCCGCGTAGAGACGGGACGCACCTCCGCTCGTTGGCATCGTCCGCGTTCGAGATGGAGAAGGCCTGCTCGGCTGAGAAAACGGCGTGCGCGCGCTTGGCGCTCTTCCTGACCAGGTGGTCGATCGGTGGCAGCGAGTCTGTCATCGCAGCGGGGCAGTAGCGGACGGCGGTGTGCGAGAGTGAGTTGACCTCGACACGACCAAGTCGGAGACGGCTTGCGTTCACGTCGCTCCGGGATCGCGCAAATGCTTTCACATGGTCTACGACGGGGTAGATGGAATTACTGAAAGCACAGCAGTCCTGCCCGCTGACCTTTCCCTCGACCTCGTTCTCGTCTATCCATTCTCCTCGCTCGCTCACTCCGGGATAGTCGTTCCAGCGAGATCCTGAGCAACAGTTCACACTCATGCGGTAACGTACACCCAGGCTGCCCGGCGAGAGGTCGAGGCGAAGAGCGAGCGTCCCCCCGAGCAGATGGAGCGACCTCGTTTGGCGGCACTCGACGCGGGCGGTTCGCGGCGGTGTCAGGTGGTCCCTAGCTGTGCGGTGGTACTGATCCGAGGGTGCAATGCACTATCGCTCGTGATTTACCGCGAAGAGAGGGTGTTTGCTCAAGTCGACCCACTGCTCGCCGGCTTGTGTGCAGCGGCTCACTCGCCCGTTGTCTCCTTCCACCTCGCTCTGCTTGGGAAAGTCGCTCTCTGGACAGGACAGCCCACACACAGACGCGCCCCAGCTCAGCCGCCGTCGACGCCGCTCACTGCCGGCACCCTCTCCGCCTCGAGCACAACCCCGTTTCGCCCCATCGCTCACGCCACTCGCACCCCTCCCTAGCCCAGATCCGCCCACGTGAGTCCAGCTTTCCATGTTTCAGGCAGCCTGGGACGCGACCGACGCCTGCCGGTGAGCTCGACGCGCGGGATTGCCGAGTCGTTCGACGGCGACAACAAGATGAACGGGGTGGTTCGTCTGCCTTCGAGGAAGGGCTGCGAAGGGCGGAGTGGAGGGTGGCGCGACTGCTGGCATCTTGGGACACGCCTGGACTGCTAGCGAGAGCGTGGCGAGCTGATCTTGTCCTCCTCCACCTCCAGCCTTCTCAACTCGACCTCGAACAGCTTCGGCATGGACATTCCCCTCCACTATTTCGACGAGTATGTCGGCGACAAGCTCTACTCGTACCTCGACAACCCCTTCGCCAAGTTCGCGACGCCTTTAGCCGCCAACGCGACAAAGGCGCTCGACCTCTCCTCGACACAGGCGGCCGTCTCGTCCGTCACCCAGCTTCTCGCCACCGTCCCCGCCCTCTCCTCCCTCTCCCGCGACAGCATCGTTCGACAATCGATCTCGCTCTACGGCCTGACCTACCTCGGCATCCTCGTCCTGTACTTCTCGGTGGCGACTTTCTCCTACTACTTCATCTTCGACCACCGCATGAAGCTGCATCCGCGGTACCTGCCCGATCAAGTACAGAAAGAGATTGCCTTCTCTCTCGAGGCGTTCCCTGTTCTCGACTTCCTCACGCTCCCATGGTTCGTCGGCGACGTTCGCGGCTGGAGCATGTTGTACGACACGGTGGCGGAGGGACCGTTCGGGGAGCGAGGAGGTGCACTGCCCTGGGTGTACATGGCGTTTAGCGCCGTCTTCTTCCTCTGGTTCACCGACTTCTGTATCTACTGGGTCCACCGGTGGCTGCACATCCCCTTCCTCTACAAGCGCCTCCACAAGCCTCACCACAAGTGGATCAGTGAGTTCCCTCCTGTCGTTCTAGCGACTTTCGAGCTCGAACTGACCGTTCGCTCGTGCGCAGTCCCGACGCCATTCGCCTCGCACGCCTTCCACCCCGTCGACGGATACCTCCAATCCGTCCCCTACCACCTCGCGTGCTACCTCTTCCCGATTCACAAGTACATGTTCATCGGGCTCTTCTCGTTCGTCAACCTCTGGTCTATCTTCGTGAGCCGCTCCCGCTCTTACTCTTCTCACTGCACTGAGCTGACATGGTCATGCGCGCCCAGATCCACGACTCGGACATGCTGTGCGACCACCCTCTCGAGCACTACGTCAACGGCCCCGCACACCACACGCTGCACCACATCTACTTCACCTGCAGTGCGTCTCCTCTCCCCTCTCCTTCCTCTTTCCCTTCGAGCTGACCGTCCCACGCACGCGCAGACTACGGCCAATACTTTGTCTGGGCCGACAAGTACTTCGGTTCCTTCCGCGTCCCAGCAAAAGGCGACGATCCACTCATCGCCGTCCTCGCCGCGATCGAGAAGAAGAAGATCCTCGAAGGAGTCGCAGTCGAGGCTGCCTCGTCCGACAGCGATCGCTCGTCACGCGACTCGTCTGTCGAGGCGGTCGGTCTCAAGGCGCCGGATATGAAGCGGATTGATTCGGGATTGGGGAGCGAGACGGAGTTGGGATTGCCGGGGAGCGGGTCGTCGAGCAAGGCTTCGAGCGTCAAGGGCGACGACGAGCCCGGCTCCGAACCGGTGGTGGAGATTCAGGAGGTCAAGCGGCCACGGCGGGAAGGGTTGAGGGCGAGGAAGTAGACCTGCTCTTTCAATCGGTTGTTCGGTTGATTCGCCTTCGTCTTTCGCATCCCACATCATCTCCTTATTCCTCGTTAGTTCTGTTCTGGTCCTCTCGTATATCCCGGAGCATCTTGTTATCGCATATCCCCCTCGGTAGTTCAGCTCGTGCTTGCGGCGCGCTCGAAAGCGCTCGCGAGCTAGCACCTCAGCTTCCCTTTCTGCCTACGATTCCCACGTAGGCTTGCCCGCCAAGAAGCTCGAGAGCGCGCAGCGGAGAGTCGAAGAACAAGCGAAACTCTCCTCCTCGAGACGCAGAGCGTGGGAAGCGGCAAAGGAAACATGTTACAGCAAGGGGTTCAAAAACAAACACTGCTTCATTCGTGCATGCACTTCGAGCTCGAATAGCCATTTACTGCGCGGCCCGAATCCGTCAGCGTCCGGAGTAAGAGGAAGAAGCGGGAGGAAGGGACGGGGACGCACCAACTTCGACTGAGCGTTCTTGAGGACCTGGTCGAGCTTGGTTGCGAGCATGATGTTGCCCTTAACCTTGAGCTTGCCACTCTGCGCGTTGCAAAAGCGGGATGAGGAGCGCAAGTCAGCGAACTGTTCTCCACCGAGTGCCAAAAAGCCTGTGAGGCGGAGGCGCAGCCCAAAGCAAGTGCCAGGGCTAGCGAACGACTACGCACCATGAACGCCTTCTGGCCGTTGATCTTGTTGTCTGCGAGAGCCTGGAAAGTGTCGTCCGCGAGCGAGATTGTGACTGGACGAAGCCAAGCGGGCGTCAGTCGCTGTGTTTCGTTCGAAGTGTAGGAGCAAAACGCACCATCGGCCTTGGGCTTTGCGTTGCCCTGGTAGACCTTGCCCTCCTGCGACACGAGTGAGCGGGTGAGCGGAAGTCTCGTAGAGACGGAATACGGTGTCGGAACGAACCTTCTTGAGGTCAATGGTGTAGATGCTGCCGAAAAAAAACCATCTTCCGTCAGTCCGCACTCATGCCTGGCTGCCCAGGCAACGCTGAACAAGGGGCAACTGGCTGCAACTCACCCCTCCTTGCCCTTGGAGTTCTTGACGCGCATCTCAAAGATGCCGTTGACCTTCTTCATGTTGTCCTTCTTCTCCTTCTCGTCCATCTGTTTTCGTAAGGGCGGGCGGGCAAGTGACGGCGATGAGGGCAGGTGGGGCGGGTTCGGCGTGTTGAAGGGGCCAAAGTCAGCGACGAGGATTCGCGGGACTTTGCGCGCGCACGCAGAGCAGAACAGCAGCAGAGTGGATGAACTGACACCCTCGAGGCCCTGCTTGATCAGGTCGAAGAGCTGTTTCGGGGTGTCATCAGCGGTGCGAGTCGTGTGAGCTGAGAGCGAGATGAGCGCACCTGGGTGGACGGGATCTCCTTGTCGGCGATAGACATGGCTGCTGTGTAGTGTGTAGTAGGGTGTGAGAGCGGAAGCGAGTCGTGTGAGGAATGAGAGAGAGAGCGAGAGCGCGAGAGTCGACTCGGCAACGTCGGAGACGCCGGCGAGGTTCGTTCGCTTCTCAACTGGCGACTTGAGCGTGTGCATCATTCAGCCACAGCGCACGATCGAACACTCAGACTGGCACAGGACCGGCTCACACGGCGGAGCGCTCGAGCGGGCGGAGGTGCCGCTGCAGGCGAGCGAGTCCTCCTCCGCTGAGCTCGCCGCCCGCCTTATTCGCCTCGAGCACGTGTGAAACGGCATGGTTACAAGCAACAGTAACGGCACAACGAGAACCGAGAACCGAGAGAGAAGCGCAACAACCACGAACCAAGCGACGAACCCGCCCTCACCGACCACTCACCGCTTCTTCTGCGACGCAGCCTTGCCGACACCCTTCTTCGACCCGCTCAACAAACTCGCCTTCTTCTTCGTCTTCTTGGCAGGCGCCTCAAAGTGCTGAGCGACGTGGCCCGACATGGCCGTCTCCGAGCCGACGAGCGTCTTCTGGCAGACGGCTGCGAGCAAGTCCAAGGCGTCAGTGCGGAACAGCGAGAGACGAAAGCGATGCGGCGCACGGCAGGTAAACTCGCTGATGGGCTTGCTCGGCGGCGGCGAGTCGGTCTTGCGCTTCTTTGCCGGGCGGGAGTCGGTCGAAGCGGTTGGCGAGGCGCGGGAATTGGTAGGCGAGCGTTGGCGGGCTGTGGTGTGCTTAGCACTCGCGGAAGTCGAGCCGGCGGAGGAGGAAGACGAGGTGCGGCGTGCAGTTGTCGGCGGAGCGGGCGGAAGCGACGCGGTCCTCGAGACCAATGACCTCGTCTTGCCCGAAAGGACGACATCGTCCTCGTCGTCATCATCCACGACCATCCACCTCCCCGTCCCGCTGCCGCTAGCACCGCCATGCGAGTCGTCCCAGTCGTCGTCGCCAGCGAGCGGGTCGACCTCGGCTTCTTTGGCGAGCTGCTCGAGCTGCCGCTTCGAAGCGGCCCAGCCGTCGCCCTCTCCATCAGAGTCGTCCGACTCGTGAAGCATGTCCGAGTCCGAGTCGCTCAGCTCGAGGTCGGGGAGCTTCGAAGGCGTCGCCTTGACCCACTGCGCCAGCGCGAGCCGAGTCAGCACACTCACCTCTATGGCACTCGATGAGCGCGCGCAAACTCACACCATCCAGCTTGTTCCCCCGCTTGACCTCCCTCTCGTCTCTCAAATTGCTCATCCTCAATCCCAACAACCTAGCCTTCAACTTCGAACCCTTCCCGCCCTTGACCTTCTCTCCGCGCTTGATCGCCGCCGCGCGGTCGTCCATCTCTTTGTGCAGGAGGTGGAGGCCGAGACGGACGATGTCTTCGTAGGAACGGATCCAGACGTTCTTGCCCGGCGTGTAGGCGCGGGTCACTCGCTCGTAGGTGTCTGCGCGGATAGGAATCGTCAGCGATGTCGTGAGAGCCGCCGAAGCAGCTTGGCGCACCGTGCTTGATGGAGAGCGTGATGGTGCGACCGGAGAACTCGGAGCGAGCGAGGTCCTTCGCGAGCGACTTGGCAACTTTGCGTAGCTGCGGCGAGAATATCGCTGTCAGCACACCCTGGGCACCGGAGGTCGAGCTCGTCCGCGACTCACGGTGTCATCGAGCGCATCCCGGTTGTCAGTCGGCGTGAACGTCTTCTCCACCCCGTACGTCTTGCGATCCCCTCGTTTCGCACGAACGACACGGTTCGAGCCCATGCCGAGGTAGAGACTGAGAAGCCACCTGAACACGCCCGAGCTGCCGAGGTGGTCGCGCTGTCAAGGGTCAAGGAGGTCAGGCTCAGACGGAGAGGAGAGGATGAGGTGGTGACGCACGATAAGGTAGAGCCTCTTGCGGTACGTGTAGATGTCGTTGACCGTCTCGAGACCAAGCCCATTGAGCAGCGTCTCCGTCACACGTCCGATCCCATAGCACTTGCGCAACCTGGCGCCCTTGATGAACGCTTGACACGCCTCGGCCGTCGAGTCGATCACGAACTGCCCGTCGGGCTTGTTCATGTCGGCAGCAATCTTGCTGAGGGACTTGTTAGGCGAGACACCGGCTGAGACGGTCAGGCCCGTCGTTTCCTTCACGTCGGCGCGAAGGCGGCTGATCGCTTCGGTCGGGGTGACGCCCTGGTTGGCGCAGTAGTCGGTCATGTCGACGTCTGCGGGAACGGAGACGTCAGGCAGCGCTCATGAAGGGATAGGCGGAGGCACGCACAGGCTTCGTCGAGACTGGCGGGCGCGATAGGGCCGTACTTCTCGAGGACCGACATGATCTTCTTCGACGCGGCGACATACAAGTCGGGCTGCATCTTGAGACTCTTGATGTGCGGGCAGAGCTTCTTGGCGATGAAGAGGGGCATGGCGGAGCGGCAGCCGTACTTGCGGGCTTCGCGCAACGAGGTTAGCGTCTGCTCGGGAGGAGGCGAGCGGTTCAGACAGACCTTCGTAGCTCGCCGTAGTGAGCATCCCACCGCCAACGCCGAACGCCGTGCCTTTGAGCGATGCGTCCTCTAGCTCGTGGCAGGCAGCGTAGAAAGCGTCTGCGTCGATGAGCGCAATGACGCGGGACAAGTCGCGCTTCTCAGCGAGCTCCTCGAGAATGGCGTCGACGTTCTGCTCTTCGTCGCCTGTCGCAGTGAGCTCCTTTGACGCGAGAATGCCCTTAAGGCGGTTGACCTTGACCTCGAGCTCCTTGTCGCGGCGCTGCTGGTCATCTGCGGTACATCTGTCAGCGCAGGTACGCAGTACAGATCACAAAGCGACGCACTGAAGTACTTTGAGCCTGGTGGACGAGCAGAATAACGCTCAGCTCTCGCTCAGACCGCGTTCAGGAGGAGGCCGCACCTTTCGACGCCTCGAAGATGATCCGCTGCACCTCCTCGGCCGTCTTCTTCCCACCCACTCCCGCCTTGAGATCACTCGGACCCGCCATGCGCTTCAGCAAGCTCGCCTTCGGTTCCTCGCCCTCCCACGCCCGCTTCCTCGACGGCGCCCGTCCTCCTGTCGCGGCAGACGGGCCAGCCACGCCCCCTCCTGCCACCGTAGAGCCCGTTCGCGCGACCACCGTCCTCGCACAAGTGGCCATTGCCGCGCGTCAGGCCGTGTTGCCCGTTGAGCGATGAGAACAGGCCGAGGTCGGAGAGCGCGCCCACCTCGACTGGAGGCCGTGCGCACGAGCTGGCGGAGCGAGAAGAAATCCAGTAACGACTAGCGAGCGCGACAAACCCGGCAGCGGGGCGAGCGAGTCGTGGACGAGGGCGACCCGCTGATTGACTTCTCCCGCCAGGTTGACATCCGTCCACTCATCTCGACTCGCTCTGCCACGCTTGCTTCGCAAATGCTGCTCTTCTGATTGCATGGACCTGCCTGCTCGCACGATGCCAGCCACGCGCGATGTCCTGATCGAGGTCGAGGCGGAGCTGGTCTTGCTTGCAGTCGTGGGCGGACTCTTCGGTACGTTTTGGCTGGACGAGCGCGGGGGGACGATGAGCTGAACCCGATTGTATCGGCAGGCTACTTCCTCGTCGAGCTGGCGACCTACTGGGACCGCTTCGGCTCGCGGGACCACCTTCGCTTCCGCATCCTGGCCATCTGGCTTGCTCTCGCCGAGTTGATGTACTTTGCGATCCATGTCGCGAGCACCTATACCGCCGCAGTCAGTCTGGTCCAGGGAGGAGACGGGCTGCGACCGTCCATCCTCTCCATATGGTCTATCGTGATCAGTACGTAACGATCGTCTTCGGCGAGTCCGCCAACGCTGACGAGGAACCGTCTGCGGCAGCCACTCTACTCGAGGCTACGATCGAAGGCTTCTTCGTCTTCCGCCTTTGGCTCGTGACGCGGAAACGCTGGGTTCGCAGCATCTCCGCCTTCCTCTGGGTGAGAACGATGTTTCGTCTCCCGCATACTCCCGACTGACACTAAACGTGGAATCAGGCCTTCTCCTTCTCCGCGCACGCCGTTTGGGTCGGCATCGCTGGTAGGCATGGCCGCTCAAACATAACCAGCGACCCAAAGCAGCTCGTCTGCGTGCAGATTGCCTTCTGGGTGAGGAAGATCTCCCCTTCTCTGCTATAGCAGTCAAGTAACCCCTCATGCGCACCGGCGACGTTCGTCGAGGGCTGCTTCGTCTCGGGATGCTTGCTGTACGAGCTGCAGTTCGCCGAGGACCGCAAGATCATCCGCAGGAGCAACAGCGCGATCGGCCAGCTCGTCAGTCTAGCGATGCGGACGTCAGGGTGCGTTCAGCCGAGTCAGCTCTGGGGACACCATGTTGTGCTGACCGGCGGTCTTCGCGGCGCAGGATCCTCGTCGTCTTCGAGCTGCTCGTTGCGGTCGCAGTATCGATCACTCGGCAGCCTGAGCACGCTCTCGTCGTACGTCTGACTCGCTTCTCCCCCTTCAGATACCTCGCTGATACCTCGCATCGCAGACCGAAGTGCAGTATGCGTAAGTCCTCCTTCTCACCCTGTCTCCGTCAATCTCGCTGATCCGCCTCATCTCCCGCAGAGCCACTATCTACACGATTCTCGGCGCCATCATCATCCTCTTCACCCTCAACTGGCGCTCTACAATCCGAGATCCAAGCAGGAGCACAGGCGTTCCCGGCAAAATGACGATGGCGAACTTTCAGATGGGCATGCAGACGCAGGCACCAGCGGACGTTCCGAGCTTTGTAAGACCTAGCCTAATAGGGGAGCTCGAGCAGAAGCAGACGCCGCCGAAGGAGGTGCCGGAGGGTAGCAATGCGGAGGTGTCCATCGGACAGATGCTGCGTTGAGCAGAGTATCCGAGTAGTCTGTGGTCCTTGTTATATCGATATGCATGTCTCCCCGGTTCAGCAGAGCTGCTCGCACTTCAGAGGTCTAGACGAGGAGAAAACGAAGGCAATGCGTGAAATAGTACAGTCTACACCTGATCCTCCTCGTTTGGGACCCTCGCGTATGACACGCTCTGCTTGCTACTATGGCCCGACGCCTGTCCAAGCTCGAGATCTGGGAAGCGCGGCGTCATCTCGACTCCACCAAGATGAGGGGTCACGTCGCCCAGCGAGAACCCGTCCCGCATCTCCCGCTTGACGCAGAGTTGTTCCGCCAGGACAATTTGTGCGACGGAAGATGCGCCGACGACGAACCAGAAGAAGAAGGAGGTCGGGAAGGAGGAGGAGTAGTAGATCGTCAGGATGAGGTGGACGAAGATGAGGGTGAGGGAGAAGTCGAGGATGTGGGTTGGTCGTCGGACGATGTGGTAGAGGAAGAAGATGCTGGAGCGTGGACTTGGGTCAGCCACGTCGCATGGAGAAGTAGCAGACGAAGCTGGACTCACTCGGACATCGAGGCGATGACCCAGCCTAGCGCTACCGCCCACCCTCGCAGCGCATCGTACTCCAGCACGCGCACAACGCCATGCGACAGACTCGCCGCATCCAGCTTGCCCGCTGCCGCCGCTGCGCCCGTCCACCCCGCCGCCGCATCCCTCGCCGCGTCGAGCGAGACCAGTCCTGTGCCTAGTCTTCGAGAGGCAGCGAGTCCCGACACGGTCGACCCCGTGAAGGCCCGCCAGTCCATCGCGAGCGCGATAGACGTGCCGCCGCCTTCGTACTGGAGCAAGTCGGACGACGAGAAGATGGTGAGGAGGGCGGGGAGGACGAGCGAGAGGACGAGGTAGTGGAGGGCTTGTAGGGAGACGATCTACTAGACGCAAATAAGTCAGCGAGACGATCAAGCGTGACAAGCGAGAGCGTAGCGACTGACCTGAGAAACGATCAAAACGGGGTCCCAGCCTTGCACCCGAAACCGCTGAGGCGCGGCTGTCGTGGCCACCGTCATGCTTGGGCTCCGTAGCGATGCCGGGAAGTTTAGTCGAGCGGCAGGCGGCATCGTTGAAGACGGTCGAGAGGATTACAGAGGGAGGAGAAGGGGATCACGGCGTTCGTCTAGTCTGGGTGAGCAAGCAGGCGTCAGTACTCGGTCTCAGCATCCTTCGCAAGTCATGGCAGGTCGCGCAATCCACTAACGACGCTACATTCCCCACCCACCCCTTGTTCGACGAGGCGAAGAACGAGTCGAAACTCACTGAAGGTCCGGCTAGAGCCCGCTGCCCGCTTATACCACCTTTCGCGTCGCCTTACAGCTCAAGATGCGCGCGCCGGTCTTGTCACTCGAGGGTCTCGTCGGCGAAGTGATGAGGAATGGAGACGTGTGAGCCGGAGTCGTCGCGCGTGGAGACAGGCAGTGAGCAACGAAGCGGCTTCGGCACGTTCAGAGATGAGCAACAAGGAGAGAAAAGCCCTGCTCGAGCGTTCGAGTGGTCGTGGGCGAGGACAACACCTTCGAGGCCTGGCCGCGCCCTCCTTGAACTCTCCAATTACCGCTTGCAGGTCCCGGGTGGCGCTCATTGCGCTTGCTAGATTGCTGGAGAAGGCATCGCTAGATGAACGCCCTCCTGGAACAGCCGCACGAGCTCCGCGCGCTTGAACAGCGGCGAGACGCCCTCCGAGTCGTCCTCGACCAGCTACACGACCTGGCAGACCGCTTGCATGGCTTGTTGGAGGCTCGCAGGCAAGGAAATGGTCGGATGGAGCTGCCGGTGGACCTGGGAATGGGCTTCTGCGCTGAGGGAGTCGTGTACGTCCCGCTTCTTCTCCTGCAACCCGTCGGAACTTGCTCATCGCTTGATCCGGCACGCATACAGCGAAGACACGGACCGCATCATCGTAGGCACAGGGATGGAGGACCTCTTCCTCGACATGCCGGTCGAGCAGGCGCAGGATTTTGTGAAGAAGCGCATTGCGATTGTCGAGAGTGCGTCCTTCTCTCTCTCGCGATCACGTCGCTGCGGTGCTGACGAGCAATCCACACTCGCAGAGAGGGTTGCTGAATTCGACGAACCCATAGCGAGGCTGAAGGAGGAGCATGCAAAAGTGCGCGGCGTCGTTTTCTTCGTTTGCGACCCTCTTCTGACGTCTCAACCCCTTGTCCAGCTCGTCGAGACTTTGCAGTCGGCTTTCGGTGGTCAGAGTGGTCAGATCAGGACGCTGGCATGAAGGTGGCGTCGATTTGCGCCGCGGAGGACGGATAGCGGACTTTCGAAGAGGAAGAGGAGGGTCGCAACGGCTTCTATCGCTCGCCTTGCTTGTTGTACCATTCTTGCACTCTGATTTGCATTGTCAGACAGTACACGAAGCCTCCTTGGATCCAGTCTACGGGTCTCCTCGCCGCCTTCTCCTGCCAGCCTTTCCTTTGCCAACGACACTTGCTCGCTTCCGCCTAAACTGCTTCCTTCAGCGTTTCTTTCGACTCATTCGCTTTCCAGCAGTCAGTCAGACTCGTTCCGACCCACCTCAGCTTCTTGTCGCCGTTTCCAGCGTCATCAGTCGAGCGGATCTCTCGAAGGGAACGGCTTTCAGGACGCAGGACAGGTGCGCGAGCGCTCAATCCGCTCTATATAGGTCGCGCAAAGACCTTGCTTGCCACCAGCTGCCCGGCAGCGCGCTGTCGGCGAGACTGACTCCTTCACGCTCGTCTCGCAGGACCTCGCCCGACATGGACTACTTCGGCTTGGGCGCTGGCAGGACAGACGAGCTGCACAGCCTGGGTTCTGCCCTGCTCACGCCGTCCGAGGCGCTCGGCTACTTGTCGCCCAAGACGCCCTCGCCTCGACAACACTCGCCTGCGACAGCCGCTCTCGCTCAGCAGATCCAGGAGGCTGCGGACTTGCCTCTCGCAACAGATGAGGAGAAGGAGAAGCTGGCAGGAGCGCAGGGCGAGGCCGCGAAGCAGACTCTTTCGCCGTCGCGCCTCAATGCTGTCCTCAAGCAGGACCCCTTACCGCCTCCCCCTCCTCAAGCTCGCTTTCTCCACGGCGGTCCTCCGCTGAGCGACCTCGAAGCGCCATCGGCCGTCTTGCCGCAGTCAGAGCGGCGGAACAAGCCGATCGCGAACTCGGAATGGCGGGCTTTCACGGATGAAGAGGAGGAACGGTTGCATGCGGGCTGGGAGCGGTTGCAGAAGGACCAGGAGGCGAGGGACAGGTGGGCGCACTCGAAGGAGAAGGGCGTCGTAAAGGAGCAGGAGGGGATGAAGCGGGCGGCGGAAGATGAAGCCGATCCCGAAGATTCGCCGTACCTTGTTCCCGTCGGCCTCGACAACCTCTTCACGGTCTCGCTCTTCGACAACGTCCTTTATCCCGCCTTCTGGTCCGGCAGTGCCGTCCGCGTCCTCCTCTGCCACTGGTTCTACGCCCCGCCCTCATCGTCCCTCTCCTCGCCAAATCAGCCGTCGCACCTCATCAAGCCTTACCCCGTCGACCCGACGCTCTCCGCGTCTCTCGACCGCGCATACTCGCATATCCGTCCATGGGACGACTCGTACGCTGCCGAGCTTGCATCGGCGTTGCAGGGCGGTGCCGAAGCGCAGAAACGGCTGGCGACACCGCTTGGAGTGGAGAACGAAGCGGGTACGGAAGGGAACGTCGGGATCGAGGTGATCTTTGAGGGGAGGGATCGAGGAAGGGTGTACTCCAAGGGCATGCTGGGGAGCATGAGCAAGTCGCTCTTCAGCAATGGCAAGGGTCTGGGCGGTGGACAGGTGGTTCTGCGAGGTGCGCGTCTTCTCCGTTTCCTGGCTCGCCGGCATTGACCTCGTCGCGTTGCAGGCTGGGACGCACTGAAGGCGTACATCCAGGAGAAGGCCCAGAAGAAGGCGCCCACGGCGAAGACTGCCCCAGCCGATTCGACTGCAGCTGTCACATCTGACTCCGACACGGAAGCGTCGAGTGCTCGACGACGACCGCGCGCGGACTCGGCCTCAACGACCGGAACAGTCAAGCGGTCCGACTCGCCAGGTCCCGGTCTCTTTGCCAGCCTGCGACACCGGATCGTCGGCGGTCCAGCACCAACCGCAGATGGCGCCGCTACGGCGCCACCTGCGGCAGAGGTGGATGGGAAGGTGCCGAACGAGACACAGGAGGCGGTTCAGCTGCGAGAAGAGGAGATCGGCACGGCAGACGAGCTCGTCCTTGTCATACACGGCATCGGGCAGTCCCTCGCCGCCTCTTACGACTCCTTCAACTTTCTGTACGCCGTCAACGCCTTCCGGTCACAATGCACGTCGCTTTCGACCGCCCCCGCCCTTTCGCCTCTTCTGCATGGCAAGCGCGCGCAGTTCATCCCGGTTCTCTGGCGCGCCGAACTCGACTTCGACAACATCGACAACACGAACGACTCGGCCGACGAGCACCTTGCCAACCACTTCGGCGTCGCAGACATCGAGATCCAGAACAGCGTACCGTTCCTCCGGCAGGTCGTGTCCGGCCTCGTCCTCGACGTCCCTTTCTACCTCTCCCCAGCGCACAAGGAGAAGATGTTGCGCTCGGTTGTCAAGGAGGCAAACCGGATCTACCACCTCTGGGTGAAGCGGAACCCCGAATTCGAGCAGAAGGGCGGCAAGGTCTCGATCATCGCCCACTCGCTCGGCTCGGTCATGGCCGCCGACATCCTCTCGAGTCAGCCGACGTTCGTCAAGCAGCCCGAACTGTCGGTCCGCACGCCCGGTCCGCGCGCTGCGCCCGCCATGACGCCCGGACTGAAGCCGCTCGAGACTGCCGGCAAGGACGGCCTTACCTTCGCCTTCGACACTCGCGTCCTTTTCCTCGTTGGCAGCCCGCTCGCGTTCTTCCTCCACCTCGGCAAGGGCCAACTGATCGCGCGGGCGGGACGTGAGCGGACGAAGCACGTTGCGCGGGATATCGCTCTCGAACGTGCGGGTCGGTACGGCTGTCTCGCTGTCGACGCCGTCTACAACGTCTACCAAGAGACGGATCCGGTCGCCTTCCTTCTTGCACCGACCGTTGACGTCCGCTACGCCAAGCTCATCAAGCCCGTCGCCATTCCTTCGTCAAACCAGACGCTCCTGCAGAACCTCTCCGACGCCTACCACCGCGTCTCGAAGATCTTCGACATGTCGTCGCTGTGGGGTTCGTCAGGCGCGACGACGGGCGAGGACGGCAAGCCCAAGTCTGGCGAGGAGGCGAAGGAGCAGACGGTCAAGCAGGAGCAGGAGAAGGTGGAGAGTGCAAAGCCAGCCAGGCGACCTAGCGGGCCGAAGCGGATGCCGACGGAGCGCGTCAAATCGGGCGCAGGATCCGCCGAGTACGAGTGGGTCTCGCGCGCCGAGAAGCGGATGAAGGCGTTGAACGCGAGCGGCACGGTCGACTTCTACCTCCCCAGCGAGGGCATTTCCCAGTACATCGACGCGCTTACGTCGCACCAGAACTACTGGACCGACCGCCGATTCTCGACTTTCGTCCTCTCTCAGCTGTTCGCCGATGACGCACACATCGAGCTCACGGGTCGCGAGGAGGTGGGTGTGGCGGATGAAGAGTAGCCTTCAATGTCGAACTCTCTCGAGACTTGTTGCTGTAATACGGATCTCGACTCCAGTGTCTGTTCCTTCTATGCGCAATGGCTCTACTCCCTCTTCCGCGCTGGACCCGGCACGCCCACCCAGAGACCGAGCATGATCGCGAAGAGAACGATCATGACGGGCTGAAGGACGGCAGGCGAGAACCGACCCGCCAGTGCACCCGTCGCGAACGGACAGACCGCGGCGCCGATCTGGCCGAACGACGCGCAGAAACCGATCGAGGTGGCGTGCAGGCGACGAGGGATGACCTTTGTGAGGACGGAGATGGCGACCTGCGAGGACATGGCGGTCAGCGAGAACAGACTGGCTTAGCAGGCTGGCCCGACGCACTGGATAGACCGGCCCAATCAGCACTCCAATGATGGCGACGACGATGGCGTTCCCAACAAGCGAGTCGGCGAACCAAACGGCGAATTCGAGCGCCAGCGCCATTATCGTGTACCCGTACAAGACGCGCTTCTCGCCGACCCGGACGTTGATAGGGTTGAGGAGCACACGTCCGAGCATGAGGCCGAACCAGAAGCCGGTTGCGGTGTAGCCGGCACTGTAACGGGAGAGAGTGCGATACAGGCAGGGAAGAGTGAGTCAGTCTGCAAGCTCGTCGCGAAAAGACCATTGAGGTTCGAGGCTGACTCGGGTCCACCGTTGCGCTTGTCGATCATGAAAGTCACGATCCATCTGCAAAGGCTTCGCGTCAGGGGAGCGAGGCAAACAATGGTAGGGAAAGAGACGCACCCTCCCATCGAGACCTCGGCGCCGACGCTGCGAGAAATGCACAGTCAGCGCAGATCCTCGTGCAAAGCAGGAGCGGTGAGCTCACTAGAAGAGGATGAAGATAGCCGTGAGAAGCGTCGCTCGATTCGTCAAAGCCTGCCACATGACGCCGCGCTTGAAGCTCTTCTTCGCGCGCTTCTGCAGCCTCGTATCCAGCTCCCGTACCTCCACTTGGCCCGCTTCGAGCTCCGACGGCTCTTCAGCTTTCTCCAACACGGACGTAGCGGCCGTCGAGTCTCGTCTCGACTGGTCCACCAGTTCAATCCCTTCCCGACCCTCCACAACCGTTACGGGCGGAACGCCAGGCGCCTCGAGCGTTTCGGTCGGCTCGTTGACATCGACGATGTAGTTGAGGCGGAAGGCGTAGACGAGAAGGGCGGCGTTGAGAGCGGCGAGTCCGAGCGAGATGGCGTAGAAGCGGGAGAAGAGGATGCCGGAGGATGCGAAGGCTGTTGCGGCGAGCGGGACGACGGCGGCGCCGAGGCCGTACCTGCGCACGTCGACGTTAGCCGCGTGCGTGCACAGTTGCCGACAGGTGCGAACGCACGATCCGTGAAGATAACCGAGCTTCGTCTCCGCACCAGGCAGCGTAGCAATGTAGACGTTCGACTGAGCGTCCTGCAAGGCCATGCCAAAGCCGGAGATGGCGTAGATGACGGGGAAGACTGGGAAGGGGAAAGCCGGGATGAGGAGCGTGTATGCGCAGGCTTGGATGACGGCGCCGAGAGCAATGACTCTGCCCTGTAGCGGCAGGAAAGTCAGCTGAGACTGCCGACAATGGGAGCGAGACTCTCGCACCAAGCCAAGCTTCTGCGTCAGAAAGGAATTTGCGAAAGCCGCGACGGCGAAACCAACGGCCTGGCCGACAAAGAGCATCGAGACGACCGTGTAGGAGATGTGGTAGTGAGCTGCAGGCGATAGCGGTGTGAGCAGGAGAATAGGCGAGCGAAGCAGGACGTCGAGGAGGAGAACTTACCTTGGATGTACGGAATCAACGGCCCAGAGCTCGCGTCTGCCCAGCCAGCAATCAGCAGCGAGATGTGGCCTGTTGAACCCCAAAAGAGCCATCGAGCGAGCGAGTCAGCATATCATGGACCTGAGAAAGTTCGCAACGAGCGAAGCGACCCACAGCTCGCCTCCTTAATCCGTCCATCCCACTTGTCCCTTTTCGACTGTTGTGATACCGGCAAGCGCGAGTGCGAGACTGAACGCGTGTCATCGGGTCGCTCGAGGTGTCGAGTCGGAGTGAGTGGGGGCGAGGGGAGAGACGTGGAAGCGGGCAAGCTGGCGGGCTTGTGCGGCCCAGCGTAGGTAGCAGGAGGCTCGGCGATGTCGTGCATCGCTCGCGAAGGCGTTGCGGAGCGAGGAGAACGAGGCAGAGTGCCATTGCTCCGAGAGATGTCGACTTCCACGTCGAGCAGTCGTGGACGTTCGTCAGCAATGGAGCTCGTGGTGTGTTGCGCTTTCTGGTGAGCCGGGAGCTGAGGGAGCGCGGTAGCGGAGGCGAGCGAAGGAGCAAACTCTTCTCGGATCTCGAAGGCGAGTTGGACTGCTCAAGACTTGTTCCGTTTTCTTCAGGCGCTTAGCGAGCATCTACTTCTTAGACTCATTGCCCTTCATAATCCACTCGGACGACTTCTTCGCGAGCTTGTCGGCGTACTCCTGCGAGAAGACGGAACAGTTCAGTGAATGCTTGAAGGCGTTACTCGTGGGAACGACGTCGCCGCGGGCCATCGACAGCACGTCCATGAGACGCAGAGAGTCGTAGAGTGGCGCAAAGAACAGGAAGAAAACGCACCGGGTCGTTCTTGATCTTCGACAGCATGTCCTGCTCGGGGACCTTGAGCGCCGCCTGCGTCGCCGGACGCTTCTCGATCCGCTCGACCCACGCCGCCAGCGCCGGGAACTTCTCCAACTCGACGCCGGCCCACATCGCCATGCGCACCCACGGCTGAGTGCACATGTCGGCGATGGTGTACTTGCCGCCGACGAGCCACTCTTTCCTCTCGCCGTCCTTGGTGCCGTTCAGGTGGTCTTCGTAGATCTGGTACAGGCGCCGCGTCTCGTCTTGGTAGCGCTTGATGCCGTACTCGATCTTCTCGGGGGCTGCGGAGGCCATTCGTTGAATCAGCTCGGAAGCGCTCGATGTTGCGTTGCTGGTTCGAGGTGTACGAGAGCTTACCGTAGCGGAAGAAGTGGTTCGCCTGGCCTTGCCTGCAAACGCAACGTGAGTTAGCGTGCGCAGACGGGAGGCGAGAAGCCGAAGAGGTGCAACGCACATAGGGCCGACACCGCCTTGACTGTGGGGGAGACGACACGAGAAGCTGTGTCAGTAGATGCTTGAAGGAAAGGCTAGCAGAGCAGGCAAAGGAGAAGACGGGGATGCGGGAGCGATGAGGGCGAGAGGGCGACGAGAAGCAGTAGGGGAGAGAACGCAACGAGTCCTGGCGACGCACATGAAGAAGATCCAGTTCAAAAGCTCAGTCTGCATGTCCTCGTCCTTGAAGTGGAACGTCGCGTCCGTGTCGTAGGTCTTGGCGAGGTAAAGCAAGATGCTCGCCGACTCCCAGACCTTGATCGGCTTCTTACCCTCGCGGTTGTCGAGGAGGGCGGGGATGCGTCCGTTTGGGTTGACAGCCTCGAACCAGTCAGACTTTTGCTCGTTCTTGCCGAACGAGACGGGGACGAAGGTGTAGTCGGGGATCTTTCCGAGCGCCTTGAGCTCCTCGAGCAGGTAGACGGGCTTGTTGCCTGTAGATGCGGAACTGTCAGCTGACGACGTCGGCGCAGGCTGGCTCGTACGCGCCGTTCGGCGTCTGAGCGAGCAGGAGGACGAGTCCCTTGTTCTGCAGCTCCTTCGGGCCGTGCGAGAGAGCAGAGTCGGTCATGACGGAGCGAGCGAGGTGTGTAGCGACGTTCGAGAGGCGCTGGGCAGCTTGCATCCAGCAGCGAGCGAAGGGAAGAAGAGAGAGCGAGTCGATGACAGAGAGGAAGTGGGGAAGAGACCGAGTCCGAATCGAGAAGTCCGACCAAGTGGACCAGCGTTGACATTGCGTTGACAAGTTCTGTATTGGCGTCTGTCGTCGGAAAGGGTCAAGAAGGCGGCACGGTTGATGCGCGGAAGTGTCGAGGCGCACCCGTCAAGCCGCCGACTCCCCCTTCTCCCGCTCCGCCTTCTCCCTCCTCGCCTTCATGGCCTCCATGATCCTCCTCTCCAGCTCCGGGTCCTGCTTGACGCGCGTAACGAGATCCTGTTGAGGCACCTTGAGGGCACGCTGGATGACGGGGAGGTTCTCGACGCGGTCGTGCCACGCTTTCAGGTGAGGGTACGGGTCGAGCGGGATGTGGCACCAAAAGTGGCAGCGGACCCTGCGGGGATGCAAGCGTGAGTCATTCACTCAATCGCTGGCATAGGGAAGGGGAGGAGGGACCAAGGCTGGGCGGTGATGTCGGCGTAGCTGAGCTTTCCTCCGACGATGTACTCCTTGTCCTTCAGGTGCTCGTCGAGGACGGCATAGAGTCGCTTCGTCTCGGTCGTATACCTGCCGCCGTCGGACTGCGTCAGACGCACTCGCGGTGCTGAGGCGCGAAAGGCGGAACTCACCGTTTTACCGCATACTCGACACGCTCACCCGAGTACCGCACGAAGTGGTTCGCCTGCCCTTGCATCGGTCCGAGCCCGCCTTGACTGTACAGGGTCCGCCGGTCAGCGACCGATTCAGCCACGAGCAGGAGCGCACATACACCCAGAAGATCCAGTCCAGCATTCCTTGCTCGAGGTCGTCATCCTCGAAGTGCAGCAGGTAGCGCTTGTCGTACGTCCGAGCGAGGTAGAGCAGGATGCTGGCGGACTCGAAGACGCTGATGGCCGGCTTGTCGGCGCGGTTGTCGATGAGCTGTTTTGAAGCTGGATCAGCGAGCGAGCGTGAAGAGCGAGCGGGAAGTCCGGCGCACAGCTGGCATCTTGCCTGTAGCCAGATAACACGAAGAGTGAGCTCAGTCTCTTGCACGCAGCGATTGGAAGAACAGCGAGACGGAACTGTTCGGATTTATGTTGCGGAACCACGGCTGGAACTGTTCGCCCGTCTCGAGGTAGACCTCGACCACCGTGTAGTCCGGGATCAAGCCCGCTTCTTTCAGCGCCTGCAGAGCATACGTGATCTTCCACCCGTTCGGCGTCGACCCGTAGAGAAGGACGAGGCCGGGAGTGTCGAGTCCTGGAGGAGCTTCGGTACGAGGCTGGGTCGGGCGCAAAGGGTCGGACATGGCGAGAGTGCTGTAGTCAAGGCAGGAGGGAAGAGAGAGGGAAGCGGAGGAAGAGTGGGCGGACTGAGCGGAGGTCGTGACTTGATTCGAAGACTTCGGCAGATCCTCCGAAGGTGACTTGAGTCGCACACTCGTTTGCGCGAGTCGTCTCGTCCGTTATCCGACTTCCCACTGTCCCTCGAATCTGGCTCACTTCAGCGTCTAGCGAGGGAGACGAGCCGGAGGAAGCGCGAGTGCGGCGACTAGGGGCGCTCGAGACAGAGTAGCGTTGTGAAGCTCTCGAGCGCACAGCACAGACAGATCCAGCGAGTCTTGCGCGAGGTCAGCGAGTGTCAGGAGGAGAAGGGAGGCGAGCGACAGTCTTTGGCCAATACCACCCGCTCACCTCGCCCGATTAGCTCGTGTGACTGCTTGATACTGCTGAGATGGCCTCACAAGCACTCCCGTCCAACTACCACAAGGTGGAGAGCCCCGAGGACCTCCAGGCGAAGCTCTCCGCCGCTCTCGACAAGGTCTCGGTGCTGTACTTCCGCACCGACTGGGCTGAGCCATGCAAGACCATGGACGGCGTCATGCTCGAGCTCGCAAAGCGCTACGAGGCCGTCCTCTTCCTCTCGGTGCGTCGTGGCCCTTCCCTCGCTGATGATGCCATGAGGCTGACCAAACCCGGTTCTCGCGCTCGTACGGGCTTCAGATTGAGGCAGAGTCATTGCCAGATATTTCAGAGTCTTTCGAGGTCGACGCCGTCCCGTACTTCATCCTCCTGCGAGTGCGTTCTCCTCCTGCCACCATTCACAACTGCGTCTGCTTCGCGATCCAGCGCTGACCCTTCGTCTTCTTTCCATCAGGGACACACCCTTTTGACCCGCCTCTCAGGCGCCCAGCCCTCCGTCCTCTCCGCCGCCCTCAAATCGCACGCCTCGAAGCCCTCCGCCCTCTCCGCCTCCTCGCAACAACCCCTCGCCGCCAAGACCATCTATCAGCCCGACGAGAAGGCAACTGGTGCAGCGAGTGCGGGCGGGACCGTCGCAGCGGGTGGTCAGGGAGATGTTGAGGAGAGTGACGAGGAGTTGGCGGCGCGGTGTGACAAGTTGATGAAGCAGTCGGACGTCGTGCTGTTCATGAAGGGCGACCGCGAAACTCCTCGGTGCGTCGGGCGCTTCTCTGCGGGCGGGAGCTCGGGTCGTGGCGAACGGCCTGCTGATCTTGGGTGACGCCGTCGCAGATGTGGCTTCTCGCAGAAGATTGTCGGCATCCTCGACTCGCAGAAAATCGACTACAGCACCTTTGACATCCTGCAAGACGAGGGCGTGCGACAGAGTGCGTCTTCTCTCCGCCCGCTCTTCTCGCCTCTCGACTCTCCCCGGACTCCGTTCGATGCCTGAGCGTTACGCTGACACCCACCTCCCTCCCTCGCAGAGCTCAAGGAGATCAACGAATGGCCGACCTTCCCCCAACTCGTGATCAAGGGCGAGTTTGTCGGCGGGCTCGACGTGGTCAAGGAGATGGAGGAGAGCGGCGAGTTGCAGGAGATGCTGCAGGGTTGAGCCGCGGATGCCTGTTGTTAAGCTGTGATAGTGTTGAATTAAGCAGTTTCGCAAACGAGCATGCTCTACTTTCGACACCGGGTAGAGGAGAAATTGAGCAGCTCTCGTTTGTTCGCATCAGCCTCTCGTCGCTAGCTTTCGACGGTGCGTGTGAAGGTACTTATGCAAGGGCGATGTACTGGGGGTATCAGAGTTGCGATTCTACGGCGAGGAAGGCTGCTGCATGTTGAGGGCGACCCGAACAAGCTCGACCGTCGTAACCCAGGGGTTTTTCGGCGAAGGCGTGTCCCGCAAGGTTTCGCTGCGGGGGAAGCGTCAGTTCCGCACACGGAGAGGGAACAGGCGCGTCGGACGCACCGGTTCTTGACGCGGAGGACGAAGTTGACGAGGACAGCGACGAAGATCAGGCCGCACACGACGACGGGGCCGTAGGGCTCGTCTGCATGAGTGCGCCTGTCAATGAGATGCTCCTTCGCCAAAGTCGCAAATGTGAGACGCACCGTGTTGACCCGGATACCGCATCACGATCCTGTACCTCCTGATCCTGTGCATCGTCCACGCGTACCCGAGCATCCCGCACGCAATCACCGCATAGCATACCCCCATCGTCTTCGACGCCCAGTCGCGCTCGCCGGCAGAGTTGAAGAGGGCGAGGGCGAAGGAGGAGATGAGCAGCGAAACGCGGAACCAGGAGAGGAGCGTTCGTTCCGAGGCGAGCCAGACCTGCGTAGACAATGAGAAAGCGTCAGTTCGGGCGCCCACAGTGAGGCTCGCGGCATTCGTGGCAGCTGCACCGCGCAAGGAATCGAAAAGACGCACCTTGGGCTCAATCTTCGATGCATCCGCTCCCAATTTCTGCAGGCCGTCGGTAGAAGGCGGTGCACCGTTCGTCGCTCCGTAGTTGTTGTGCTGGGGACTCGACTGCAAGCGCGAGAAGCAAGTCGTCGTCAGTCCACTGCTCCTCATTCGCCTGACGAGTCTCGCCGTCCAGCTCACCTCGGTGTTTGCGTCAAGGTCGGCAAAGACAGCAGGGTACCGGTGAACGAGACGAGCATGCAGCTCGCGGGTGAACCTGCGCGACCGGTCAATCGTGGATGACATGGTTGAAGGTGCTGTTCGGGGAGAACGAGTGAAATCGGGTCAGCAACGTAGTCCTCAATCCAGGTTTCGGTTCGTCCCCGGTGCTGCGTCCTTCTCGATGGCTCCTGGCCCCAGCGCTTTGCTGCTCCTCCCATCTCGCTTGCTCCCGATCAATTAGGTCGAGATGATGAGGCCACAGCGGTCGACTCGCGGAGCCATTCGACCTGCCAGCCCGAGAGGACACGCACAAGCTGGTTGAAAGTCGCTTGAGCTAATCGAGCAGCGGTGTCAAGCGGTGAAGCGGAGCGCAAGGAGATGAAGTTCAAAGTCCCGCACGTGGGCCTGGGTACGCAAGAGGGGGAAAGCGACGACGACGAGAGGACTCTCTCGTATGCAGAAGGAGTGCGAAAGTACCTGCAATGTTGCAATGAAGAGCGGAAGAAGCCATAGACTGCGCGACAACAAGGAAACGGAGAGGCAGACCGAGGAAGAGAGGACGGAAATCTACAGGGAAGCGGTCTACGCAGGTGTGCGGATGGACAGAGAGCAAGTTGACACTCAGAAGATGGCGCCGATCTGCGGCGCGCCCGACCTCGACTGATACTGGGCGTTTTTGCGCTCAGCCTCGCGCAGGACCATCTGCTCCTCCGGTCGCAGGAAGCGGCGATCGACGCAGGCGAGGATGCGAGGGCCGAGGTTGAAGCGGGCTGAGCGAGCGAGCGAGATGTAGCGGCTCATCTCGAGGTGGAGCGACTGGTAGTAGACGAGCGAGGCGCGCCGGAGGGTCTGTCGGATGAAGCGGTGTCAGCGGGTCATCGAACGAGAACGCAGACGGAGAGCGCAGGACGTACGAAGAGCACACGCTCGAAGCCGCTCATGAAGAGCTGCTCGTGGAAGGCGAAGGCGGCCTCGACGGTCGGGCAAGTCCTCGCGATGGCGTTGATCAGGCGGAAGTGCGCCGTCTGCGGTCGCTCAGTGTCAGCCATAGAATCTGAGACGCTCGTAAGGAAGGACACGCACGCAGTAGGCCATCGCCTCGTACTCGACACCGCCCGTCATGCCACTCGGGACTTTAGGCGCTTCGATCGCGTCGGCGTCGATCTGCTCGAGAGTCCAGAACAGGTTGTTCGAGTGGCAGAAGACCCTGTACGCAAAGCGTCAGCACGGCGCGCGGTCGTAGAGGAGGACGAACTTCGAACGCACCAGAAGTAGTCCCGCACGCAGTCGGCAATCTCCTTCACCCAGGCCTTGAAGATTCTCGGCTTGTGCGCCGCCTGGATGAAGTCGACCTTCGACTCCTCCGCCTCGTTCGGCGGGCCCTCCATCAGGCTCGTGACGAAGCGGTGAGCCTGCTGGATCCGCTCGGGCGTCAAGACTTCTTCCCGCTCAACCGAGTCCATCGAGTCGTCGCCCGATTTGGCGCGACGGGTGTACCGACGGACACCACCGCTGCCGGTCCCTTCGGAACCTGAGCCAAAGTTGGGACTCGACGGCGGGACGGGCGACATCGGTGCCAGCTCGAGCGAGACCTGCGTGTCGGACCAGGCGGACTTATGAAGCGTGTCGCAGGCGGTGGGGCAGATCTCAAAGAGAGAGTGAATGAGCTCGACGAGGATCTGCCGGCAGGGAAGGTCGCCGGGACGCTTTTCGGAGAAGAGGAGGGCGGCGACGGGAAGGAAAGGCGTTGGCGAGTGCGAAGCGAGTGCACGCTTGCCGACCTGTCACCAAGCTTGTCAGTTTGTCCGCGACTAGCGCAGCCTATCTAGGCGGTACGTACTGCGGTCATCGTCAAGGCCTTGAAGCAACGCAACACCTCGTACAGGACCTGGTCGTCGTGCTGCTCCTCCCTGTACCGCGCCCGTAACTGGTCAGCTCGTTGCAGATATGAGGAAAAGCGAAGTGCGCACCTCCACTCCATGTCGAGGAGCTCCCTGAGGCGCTCAAGCAAACCGAGGTAACCGCCGCTCTTGACGAACTCGTCGATCCAGCTGCATGATTGGAGTGTCAGTGCAGCCCAGTGATGACTAAGCTCGAGGACTCACAGAGGTGCTTCGTTCCTCAAGCGACCGCGCAGACGACCCAGCTCCTTTGCCTCGAGGGTGGCGCAGCGAGTACTCCGCAACCTGACCGCCCAGAACGTCGCGTCCTCGGCTTCAACCGGGCTCGATACTTGCACAGCAGCGGTCGTACCGCTCGACTTGCCGAGGCTGCGCAGCAGGATCGACGTAGCGGAAGCCGTGCGAGAGTGCGACCTCGAGCGGCCGGATGACGAGCCAGGCCTGGACGGCGCAGAAGACGCCTTGGCGTTCTCGCCGCGCAGCGAGCTGTTCGACTTGGTCTTGCGGAGGAAAGACTTGAAGGAGGACCCGCCCTCTTTCTTGCCCTTCGGTCCGTCGAGGCGAGTGACGGCGGGAGGATGCCCGTCGTTTACGTTGAGCGAGCGTCCGCGTTGGTGCGTTGGACGATGCGAGGCGTTGAGCGATGCCGCGGATCGAGGCGGCGCCGCGCGGAGCATCTCTTCCTTGAGCGGGAGGGCGAGACCGAGCATCTTGCTTCGCACAGTCTGGTCAGGGAGCTGCATCGTGTCCTGCGATGCAATACGAAGTCAATCGGACTGCTGGTAGGGAGGAGGTCCCATATGAAACGCACCAGCAGATCCTCGAAGTCGCGCTCGATGCGCGTCCGCTTCTCATCCGCCGTCTCCGTCTGCCGCTGCTCGAAAGACTGCTTCAAACCCGCACCGAGAGAGGACGACCGGGGCCTCGCCCGCGCACGAGCTGCCGCCGGCATCTGAGGCGTCGGTGGCTGACTCTCAAGCGGAAGGCGCCTGTACTGCGCTTCGGTGGAGTCGGGACTGGCGCGACCGTACGAAGCGGGAAGAGCTTCAATGAAGGACGACGTTGGTCGTTGTGGGAGGAGGGGCCGGTCGAAGGGGACGGGACCTTCGGGTCGAAGAGGCTCTTCGCGTGTAGGGCTCGAGAGGTAGGGCAAGCCGGGACTGGACGGTTCGCGAGAAGGCTGAGGAGGGCGCGCAGGCGTCGGCGCCGTACGAATGATCTGTGGAGCGTCAAGAACCTTGTTGCGTGTCGGCGTCGCCTGAAGAACGCTCCGAGGCGCAGGGGCACGAGGCTGCTCGCCGCGCTGGAGCGTGACGACCGAAGCGACGCCCACAAACGCGTCCTCGGCAGAGTTGGTGACGAGACTGCTCGCATGCGTCGACTCGCTCGACCTCGTCGCCATTGTCAAGTCGGTGAAGGCGTCCGTCAGCTGCGAGACGTCGGTGCCGGAGCTGAGAGTACGCGGAGAGCTTGAAGATGATGCACTGGAGCTGTCGAGGCCCGCGCTGAGGGAAAGAGCGAGGCGCGAGGCGGCTGGAGAAGGTTGACTTGGGTGGTTCTCCTTGTCGACGGGGGAACGAGGGTGAGGCGAGAAACGACGGTGTCCTAGTTCGGCGACGTTCCTCTTCGCCAGCTGTCCCTGGAAGACTGAAGCTGGCACGGTGGGCGAGTGGCCGCGAGAGTCGGTAGGCGAAGAAGGAGACGGGTTTTGACTGGAGGAACGGGAGGTTGATGGACGGTTGGGCACGTCGACGCTGGGACCGAACGAGCGTTTGACTGGCGACGTCGGACCAGGCGGGAGAGCGCTGTACGGGCGCGACTTGGCCCCGAGACTGGCTTCTTCCCATCCCTGGACGAGAGAAGCGACTTTACTCCCCGTTCCGCCGGCTTCGTTCACGTTCGTCCGTTCATCGCGGTCGGTCGACGATCTCGGTCCAATCATCGGGCGGTTCCAGCGCTGCGCATGCGTTTCCCTGTCGACAGGCTCGACTCCAGTGACCAGCGTTCGCAAGAAACCTGACCGCCTCGTTGGCGACGCTGGAGGCGAGGCGGCGCTCATCGGGTTCGGCAACTGGCTGAGGAGAATGAAGATCCCGTGAAAGTCGATGGCGAGGCGGGAGGGAGCCGTAGAGGGGTGCGAGTTGAGTGACACTTCGAGGGGCTTTGGAAGGGCGAGAGGCGAGCGTGACGCGGTGAGCGTGGATGACAGCGTTCTAGCAAGGTAGTCCGACTCCCGGACAAGCCCAGCAAGCAGTCCCAGCGAGGTGAGCGAGATGAAGAAGGGCGAGTTCGCTCGTCGCGGCGAAAGGAGGAGGGGAAAAACGACGCCTCTCATCGGAGGATGTTCGGCTGGGCCTGGGGAGCTCTTATGAACCCTTCAAATACGCAAGGACTCGCCGCGTACGGAAGCGACCGCCGTGAGCGCCAGGCCACCCCAAATCGTTCTCTTCCTTCCGTCAAAACGTCGCGCTTCATCTTTCCGAGCTATGTGCAGGCTACTCTCCCGACATTTCACTTGTCCTCCGTCCCGCCAACCCTCCAGCCAGTCCTCTCGAGCCAATTGTCGAAAGTCGTCGCCTTGACGCCAAGATCCTGGAAGGTTGCGCCGGTACACGTCGTGCCAGGCTTGATTGCGTTGATGTGGCTGAGTAAACAACAGCGAAGAGAGGCGTCAGCACGGGTGCACGGCAGCGTGGAGGATCGAAGGACTGACTGAACCCAATCCTCCACTTCTTTCGCAAACTCCGGCCCACCCATCTCGGGATCAGTCCTGACCGAATCCAAATACTCCTCGACCGCGAGCGGCTCGAACTTGGCGGGCTCGCCGGTGACGGTCTGGTACTGCTTGGCCATGTCGACCGGAGTGAGGACGTCGTCCATAACCGGGTATGTCTTGCCGCCGGTGATGCGCGGCCCGCGCTTGAAGACAGCTGTATGGGGAGTTGAGTCAACGCTCTGAGGGTCAGAGTGAAGACGTGAGGCGCAGCCAGCGTACCAGTGACGAAGTTGCCCATATCGAAGCGCTCGTCGACCCACTGCATCTGGGCGTCAGGCTTGACGGGAAGGCAGAACACGGCAGTTCCGTCAGCTGGAAGTCAGTTAAGCGGTCAGCATCGACCGTTGTCGAGAGCGAGGAGAAGAAGCGCACGGTCGCGGCGAGTCCACAAAGGCAAGTCGAGGTTCGTGTAGAATCCGCCTGCAGAAATGGCATGATGTCAGCTATAGTGCCCGTTGGAGCTCGAGTATGAGAGTATGGCGCACCTGGTATGAGGATCGTGACAGCCTGGAGCTGTTCTCTCGCATAATTGCGACGGCCTTGGCGTCCCAGTGCGTGCAGTGCGTGCGTTTTCCGCCTGAAACCTCCTTCATACTGTTGAGGCCGGAGTAGACGAAATGCTGGCAGCCTGCAGCCTGTCCTTCGCAGGTTCAGCTTCGGGACAAGGAGGAAGAGAAATGAAGCGCACCTTCGCCGCATCGACGACGCCTCTGCCCTGCTTCGCCTCCTCCGAATTCTGCGCATCTTCCTGTCCTGCCGGGATCGACGGCGAGGCGAAGAAGACGCCGTACGTTCCCTGCAGGGCGTCGCGCAGAGTGTCTGGCTTGGTGAGGTCACCGTGGACAAGGGCAAAGCGGCCGGCTTGAGCAGCCTGTTTGTGCGTGTCAAGAAGCGCCTGCGCCTTCGCCGACGCTGGGTTCGACGAGATGGCGCGGACAGCGTAGTCGGCCGTCTTGAGCAGAGCAGAAACGACGCCTGAGCCTTGTTGGCCAGTCGCACCAATCACAGCGATTCGGAGCATCGATGGACGGAGAGCGTGTTTGTGGTTCAAGAAGCGTCGGCGAGCGCAATGAGCGGAGTGATACAAGAAAAGAGGAGACAGAACGACCGGCGGATTTGTGAGATGCGGCGGCACAAACCACCGACGAACGCTCCGAGGTGCTGCCAAGAAGCCGCTGGATGCTCGGCAGCTTACGCGAGCAGGAGGTCGCCGTGTTCGTAGCCTCCAGCTGGGTTCAGCGAAAGGTGGAGGCCAAGCGGCGGAGGAGAGCGTGCGCTCGGCTCAGCCAGGCAGCCAGGCGTCATAACGACGGGTGCCCTTTGCGCGTGGAGAGCAGGGCTCGGAAAGCAAAGACGGCGAACTATGTCTGTGCTGGCCGGCTTGAATGAGCGTTGTCTGGAGAAGCCGAGCCCGTTTCGGTCGAGAACTGGCGCGAGGAGTACGGCGGCGTCGGCGGCAGTCCGCTCGCTTGAAGTCGACTCGGCGGGCGGAGGAGGGGTCCAAGGAGAGGCTTGCGCGCGCGCGGGCGGAAGAGAGTCTACCCGAACAGCTGCAATGAGAAGGAGGTCAGCGGGAGACCACAGTCGGGGCTGCTGAGACATACCACTCGTCGACGCGACAGGTATCTCGGCTCCTGCAGCATGGAAACCCAGCCCAGGTCCGCCTCTTCGCATCCGAGAGTCGCTCGAGAGACCCGTCCTCCAACTCAGCAAGTCCGCCTCGCACGGCACGCCGGCTGGTTCCGCTGCTTGTGCGACATGTTGCAGCCGCTTCTGCGTCGAAGTCGAGGTGCAACGGCACGGACTGGCGCGGTGAACGGGCGTTGGCTGGTATCGCGGGGCGAGGAAGGGGAGGAGGAGCGGTCCGCCTGCGAAAGCGTCGAGCGGCGCTCTTGACCGCATGGACGTAACTGTAGCACTCGTCCAGCACCTCCAGACTGTTCAACAAGCCAGACGGAGCGAGTCGCGGACGACGACAGCGCCAAACCTGCTCGCTCGCCTCTCTCGCTCCTTCCCTTCACTCGCTGTCGCGCTGTCCAGCTGCAAAGGCTGCGATTCGTCGCTGCACGTGCACAGAGCCACCCTGCTGGCTCATCCATCGCGACGGGGTCAAGGTCCGAGGCTTCCACCAACCCGCCAGCTCGCCCTCGACGGGCAAAGTTTACAACAGACGGCGCGCACCACCAGCAAGGCCAGGGCTCTCCGTGCGAGGCCCAGCAGCTTCTCGACGAGTCGGCCTTGTCCCAGCGCGAGGACCGCTGCTTGCTCGACGACACCAGGCATGGACTTGCCCTTCCCTCGCGAGGTGGACCCGCTGTTTGTCCAGAGATCTCCTCGCTCTCGTTCCCGGCCAGGAGGGTGGCTGGGCACTGTGCGTGGCAACACGGACGAGGCGGGGCAGGAGGACCAGGGTTAGAGCGGGACAGCGCATGCGAGGGACGCTTACGAGGTCGATTTTCGGCGGGAAGATGGGATGTGCGCGAGGTTGGCGCGGTCCAGTACACGCACCGAGCACTGCTGAGCTCGCCCCCCGCGGGTCGTGTGCTCGCAGGTTATGGTGTTGGAACCGCTTGAGTGCAATTCGCGGTGGGAGGAGGTTCGCTTCCTCCTAACTCGATTCGGACTACTCTTGCGGCTGGGCACGGCACGGCGAGACACACTGCATGACGAATACTCGGCTTGGGCGCGGAAGGACGGGTTGCGCTCTCATGGGCAACACTCGGCCTCTCGTTCCAGTCGAGCGGGATGTATCGAGCAACAGCGAGCCCGCTGTGCGGCTCGCCCCGGCTTCTGACGAGGGTCGTCTCGTCGTGCGTGTCGCTGCAATGCCACTCTGTATCCTTAGAACTCGTCTGAGCGAGAGTCGAGAGCGAGAGACCTTTGCCTTGCCCCTCTCCCTCCTCCCCTTCACTCGCTGTTCTCGTACCCGCTCAGAATGACCGCCCGCTTGCCTCCCGAGCTCTTTGCACTCGTTCTTGAGCACGTCACGCGCAGTCTGAAGAACCCGCGCCCGTTCCTCGCCGCCTGCTCCCTCCTCGACCGCAACTACGGCCAGGAGGCCCAGCGCATCCTCTTCAAGCGATGCTCGCGATTGCGCCAGCCAGAACGGGTCGAGGGATGGCTCGCCTCGCCTTACAGTGTCGCGACGGAGGCCTTGGTCGTGTGGTTCCCTCCTCCCGACCATCGCGCAACCGACGACGACTTGCTCTGCGCCAGCTTCGGGATGGATTCGCGTCTGGCGAGAGTGCTGGGTCGTTGCGCAGCTCTGCAGGGTCTGCATGTCCACCTGACCAAGACGGTCTCGCCGGCGTTCCTCACGAAGGTCCCCTTGACGAGTTCGTCGAAGTTCAGGCGAATGCGCGCAATCCTGGCTGACAGTCGTTGCTCTGCAGGTCTTGAGCGCCTCGAAATCTCCGCCGAAGCAGGCTACTTCGACCCTCTTCGACGCAAACCGATCGGAACCCTTCGCCTCGACAGCTTGACATCCCTGACTATCGGCGGCGACGTGCACCAATCCTTGCTCTTTTCCCTTCACAAGTACTGCACACGCCTCACGCACCTCGACTGCACACGCAACGGCGAGAGCACCGACCCTGTCCGCGCTTACGACCTTGTTCGTGCTTCCTCAAGGACCCTGGCCAGTCTGAGTTGGCGCCAGCACGACGTCCCGACCCCGCCTTCGCTGCAGTGTTTCACACAAGAGGTGTCAAACTTGACTCGCCTGACCTACTTCCAGCTCGACGGGCCCATCTGCGGATGCTGCTACTACGCTCTCGTCCTCGCGCTTCCCCCGACTCTCGAGACTCTGGCCTTCCGCACGGAGGAACACGACATCCTTGCAGACCTCTTGCAGGCGACAATCTTCTTCAAGCAAGTCTTTGGCGGCACTTTGGGCCACCCAGTCGTCCCGAACCTCAAGCTGCTCGTCCTCCCGAAGAAGGTGAAGAGACTGCTACCGCTCGACGCGATCAACGGAGCTGCCAAGCGAGGCATCGCACTGCGCTTCACACGAGTGCGTGTCGTCGTTCACACTGTTGAGGGTCGACGCTGACCCTCCGAATCCACACAGCCGAAACCAAGCGACTGACTCTCGACTCCCGCGCGAGCAGCGCTTCCTTCTGGCTCTCGACTTTGCAAGGCTATGGTATTGAAGGAATTGTCTAGGGAACCTTCGGATAGCAGAACCAGTCTAGCAATGTCGCAATCTACCTGGCCTCGCCGCCGATCCTGAAGCCCGTGCGCTCGAGGAACGCCTTGAAAGACGAAGCCTTGACGCCCAAGTCTTCGAAGCTCTTATCCTCCTCGGGCTCATCGTGCCGTGGCAAATCGTGTCGGGTTCGAGTTCGTTCACGTACCTGCGAACCTCGGTCAGTCCTCAGTAGCGAGCAGACGAAGGTTTGACGCACTGGAACACTTCCGTGAGAGAGGGCAAGAGGGCCTCGGGAACGCCAATGAAGGCGACGTCGATCGGGGTCGCCTGGACGATCGCCTTCTCACCTGTGACGGCTTCGTACTGCGCCGCGATGTCCTTCATCGAGCAGCAGGGAACTTCGATGGGGTAGGTCTTGCCGGCGGTAGCAGCGGGATCTTTCGCGAATGCAGCTGCAGGCGGTGAACCAATTAGATGAGCCGAAGACCAGGAGGAGGAGGATGCAAGTACCGGCAGCGTAGGTGCCGACGTCGTGGCCGTCGTCGAGCCAGCCGAGCTGGAGGTCGAGCGAGCCGGCGACGCTGAAGACGGCGATACCGTCGTCTGTGAGGACACGAGCGAGGTCATCAGCCCCTCACAACGAGAAGGAGCGGGACGGGACCCACCTCCACGCCTTGCGTAAAGCGGCATCTCGAAGTTCGAGTAAAAAGCTCTGTCACCTCGTTGCTGCCGTCAACAAAGCTCTCGGCCTGAGAGGAGGGGCAGGGAGACGCACCCTGGGATGAGAACCGTCATGTTGTCCAACTTCTCCTTGGCGTACTGCTCGATCTCGGCCTTGTTCTCGAAAGGGACGACGCGGGTGTACTTCCCGCCGCTGGCTTTGGCGATCGAAGGCAGCGACGAGTAGACAAAGTGCTCGATCCCTTCGGCCTGCGAGCGCCCGCGAGGTCAGCTCACGCTCAGTTCGAGGGAAGATGGACGCCAGACGGACCTTGGCGACGTCAACGAGCGTCTTGCCCTGCTCGATCTCGTTCTCGGCGACCGTCATCGCCGCAAACAGCCCATACGCGCCCTTGAGCGCCTTCTCCAGACTCCCCTTGTCGTTCAAGTCCGCCTGGACGATCTCCAACCTTCCATCCTTGACGTACTTGTCGTGCTGAGCGAGAAGGGAGGCAGCCTTCGAACCGGAGGGGTCGGTGCTGAGCGCGCGAACGGAGAAAGAGGTCGAGGACAGCAAGGCCGCGACGACGCCTGATCCTTGGTGGCCTGTCGCGCCGACGACTGCGACCGTTCGAGCTGGAGACATTGTCGTGAGCGACTCGAGAAAGAGCGAGAAGAAGAATGAGGAGTGTGAGGAGACGAGAGAAAGAAAGGTGAGGGTGAGGAAGGTCAAGTGGCGGAGGCTGCTCCGAAGACCCGACCGCCGAGCGGCGGAGTCGTCGCGGGAGACACAAGCGAAAGTCCGGGCGCAAAGAGCCGCACACGGCACGCCGCACGCCTCACGCCCCCCAATCCCGCGTGAACCTCCGCAAACCGTCGCAAAGTACATACAAGGATTGTCAAGGTCGTTGCAAGCGTTTGCTGTTCGCCACTTGTCCGCCGTTGCCGCTGTCGCGCTCACTTGCCCATCGACCCACCCACCCTCCAGCCCGTCCTCTCAAGCCACGCCTCGAAAGTTGTCGCCTTGACGCCGAGATCCTGGAAGCTGTGGTCGTCCTCGGGCTTCATCGTTCCCGTGCAGGTCGTGCCGGGCTGGACGTCATTGATGTGACTGCGGGCGAGCACAGTGAGAGTAGCGTCGTTAGCTCGGAAAGGGAGAGGACGGAGGAATTGAGACGGACTTGAACATATCCTCCATCTCCCTCGCGACGCCCGGTCCGCCCATCTCGGAATGCGTCTTGAAGAAGTTGAGAACATCGTCGAGCGGAACCGGCTCAAACTTGGCTGGCTCGCCGGTGATGCCGTGATATTGCTTGGCCATCTCGACGGGCGTGAGAGCGGGACTCATGACCGGGTAAGTCTTGCCGGCGGTGATGCCCGGCCCGCGCTTGAAGACAGCTGCAGCCAACGACGCGTCAACTTTTGCAACGGAGTTGACAGGAAGCAGCTGGACGTACCGCTAACGAAGTTGCCCATGTCAAAACGCTCGTCCGTGTACTGCATCTGGGCGTCGGGCTTGACGGGAAGGCAGAAGACGACGGTACCATCCGCTGCGGAGAGATGGGTAAGCCAAAAAGACTGAATACGATGAGAGAACGGTACGCACGGTCGCGACGGGTCCAGGACGGCCAGTTAAGGTTGCTGTAGAAGGCGCCTGCGAGACTCGAGCTTCGTTAGCCAACTCAAGGCACTAGTAGGGTCGAGCACAGGAGCGAGGTGCACCTGGAATGAGGACTGTGACGGCACTGAGGTTCTGCCTGGCGTAGTCGGCGACAGTCGCCTTCGAGTCCCAGTGCGTGCAGTGCGTGTACTTTCCGCCGGAAGTCTCCTTCATGTTTCCGAGTCCCGAGTAGACGAAGTGGTGGCAGCCGACAGCCTGTCCTGGCGAGAGTCAGTTTCGAGGTAGAGAACGGGAGGGGACAAGGCGCACCTTGGCCGCATCGACGACACCCTTGCCCTGTTTCGTCTCCTCCGAGTTCTCTGCGTCCTCGCGCCCGTCCGGAATGAAAGGCGAAGCGAAGAACACCCTATACGTCCCGTGAAGCGCATCGCGAATCGTGTCCGGTTTGGCGAGGTCTGCATGGACGATGGTGAGGCGGCCGAGGTGGGCGGCTTGCTTGTGCGTGTTGAGGAAGGCCTGCGCCTTTTCCGAGGACGGGTTCGACGAGATCGCGCGGACGGAGTAGTCGGTCGAGGCGAGGAGAGCAGAGACGACGCCCGAGCCTTGCTGGCCAGTCCCACCGATGACAGCGATCGTTGGCATTGTTTAAGCGTGCGTAGCAAGGGTTAGAGTGACGTGCGAGCGAGAGAGTGAGAGTGAGGAGGAGAAGGAAGAGAAAAGGGGCAGGTGTGGGACCCGGCAGCGTCACACTGTCCGCGGACAGCAGCGGAGGACTTTGAAGATCGCCAATCAGGATTCACGACGCTCAGTAAGCCAGTGGGAGGAAAGCGCCGCTGCCCGAAGCAGCGAGGCGAGGCGGCGGGTTGAGAAGGCCACGCCGTTCAGACGAGGGGTTCTTTCGTTCGTACCAAAGCCACAGCGATGCATTACACTCAAGGCTCTCCGGGACGCACCATGCTCTTGACTGCGATGAGCGACGCCGTCAGACAGGCCGTGCGAGCTGATCGGCGGGAGAATCGGGACGCACTCAGCTCGACGGAGTACTCGGAGGTTCCAATCTCGTTGTGAGCGCCCTTCAGAGCCTGCGCACGGCACCATCGCGCGTCAGTACGGGTTTTGAAGATCGAGAGACGCAGAAGAGACAGAGCGAGCGGCTTACCTCCGCCCAAACGACCTCTCCCTTCCCCTCGCCTCTCTCGAAACGGCTCACGACTCCCCATCCACCCGCCTTTGTCTCCTTCACCAACTTTCCCCTCGCCAACTTGAGCGCCTCGTTCTGGTCCGACTCGGCGTGCTGCGAGAGGAGGGGGCCAAGGAGGTGTTCTGCGAGGGTGCGGGTGTGCGAGAGCGGGATGACGGGATCGTTGTGGGCGTGGAGGATCAAGATAGGCGAGCGGATGGACTGTGTGAGGTACGAGAAGAGTGAGCAGTCGCCGTTTGCGTCAGCGAAGACGTGCGGGAGACTCTGAAGTTGCCTACGCACGTCAATCACGCTCCTCGTGTCGAAGCGGGTACGAAGAAGGCGAAGGAGCCCTTCGAGGAGGCGAGGAAAGCGCTGAAGGGGCGACAGGATGGGGATGTAGTTGCCGAGCTTGTAGGTCTCGAGCAGGGAGGCGACGGATGAGAAGGGCGCGACGAGGATGAGGGCGCGAGGGTGGATGCCTGCGGGAGTGCAAGTCAGCGCGACTCGAAATGCGCAAGCCGGCGCACGGAAGAGGGACAGCCCGTCACGCACCTTCCTCCGCAAGCCTCGCCACCATTCCAGCACTCACTCCCGTCCCGAGAGACTGTCCCATGACCGCAATCCTGCTCGCTGGCACGCCCTTGTCCTTGTACACGTAGTCGAACGCGCGCCTCGCATCCGTCAACAGGCCTTCCTCGGACGGCGCCGTACGAGACGAGTCGGCAAAGCCACGATAGTCGTAGATGACGAAGTTCGCGTACATGTCGCTCATGTGGCGAGCAACGCGAACTCGGTTCCCTGCTGCCCTCGTCGCGGCGTTGCCATGGTTGTAGACGACCGTCGGATGCTTCGGGCTCTTGAGCGCCGCGTCAAACACCTCGTTCGGCAAAGGGCCTTCCTCGGGCACACCGTACTTCTCGACCGCCTCCTCGTACAAATCCCGCGGAAGGACGTGCCACGCGCCCAGCCTAACGCCATCGCTCGTCGTCAAGTTGAAAGGGCGGACCTTGCCAGGCGCGAAACCGACGGATTCGGGACGAGAGAAGTCGACGCCGAGGGGGATGCGGACGTGGTGAAGGTAGATGAAGGCGTTCTGGATTGGCTCGAAGGCGAGAGAGGCGAGGAAAGCGATGTAGGCGACTGCAAGAGAGGGTCAGGTTCAGCGAGTGGATGAGCATGTCATGCTTCGAGTGCGCACCTCCGACCCAGATCACCCAGCTGTGTGCCCTTCGTAGGATGCTCGTCATCTCGGCCAGTGCTCCGTCTCGGCTATTGTCCGTCCGGTCGAGTACAAGCTGGTCGGGAGGGTCGACGGGCAAGTGGGTAGAGGTCGTGTCAAGAGCTCGGGAGAGGCGCGGACTCGGTAGATGCTATTGAGGGTGCTCAAACGCAAGGCCAAGAAGGCAAACAAGCAGTCTCGGCTAGTCGAAGTGAGCCGTTCTTCGCCAACGTCGTTCGCTGATGAAGTCGCTCCCCTTGACCACCTTCACCACGCTCGAACCAGCTGGACGAACTCGAACACACTGCTAGACAGCTTGAGAGTCCAGATCTGCTCCTGCGACCACCCACCAGCTCGATTCACCCTCCCACTCTCCCTCTCCAGCCCCCACATCATCCTCATCGCTCACACGACAACGCGGCCATGGCGCCCTCCATCGACGTGTTCGTCACTTCGATCCTCTCCAATCCGGCCATCCGAGGCAGACACGAGCGAGTCAGGCGGTGCTTGACGAGTGCGAGGGTCTCGTACCGCGAGCATGATGTGCGTTCCCTCGCTCTTCGATGCGCTCGCTCTTGCTCACCTGGCTTTCGTGGGACAGGTCGCGAGTGACGAGGCGGCCAAGAGCATGTGGAAGAGAAAGAACGGCGGGAAGAACGAGTTGCCATGCATCCTGGTTGACGGGGAGCCAGTCGGCTCAATAGAGGATCTTGACGAAGCGTGCGTGCGAGGTTACAATTGCTCGCAGACGAACGCTGACAGCTCATCTCCCCGCGCAGCGTCGAGTTTGGCGAACTGCGGCAGTTCCTGCGACTAGACTCGCCGGCCGCTCCTCTCCCTGCCTCAACATCCGGCTCTTCCGCCGCTCCATCCGACTCTACACCCTCGGCCCAGCCGTCAACCACCTTCACCTCTCATCCCTCCGCTCCAACCTCCTCAAAACCCAAACCCTCCATCGACGACTTCGCCGACTTGAACCTCTCCGCCTCCGAACTCGCCGAACTAGCGCGCGAGATCGAAGCAGGCGAGACTTTCTCATCCGCTTTGACGCCCTCTACTTCCTCCGCACTCGACTCCACGGCAAGCAAAGGAGGGGAAGGCGGAGGGTTCTCCTTCGCTTCCTCTGCGACGCAACACTTCGACCCCGTTCACTCACCAACCGAGCCTCTTAAGCTCGAGAAGGTCAATTTCGTCCGCCCGCTTCCAGATCGGCCGCTGCACCAAGCCGGTGAGGCGGACGAGTTGGAGGGTATTGAAGGGCTGGACGAAGTGGGAGAGGACGAACTGGAGAAGTTGGCGAGGGAGTTGGAGGAGATGGATGCCGAGTTCCGGCGGAAGAAGGAGAATCGACTATCTGCGACGAAGGGGGAGAAGCCTCCAGTCCCGGACAAATCAGACTCGGGCCTCGACGACCCCCCTCTCCCCTCCAAGCCACTCCCGCCTCTCACTTCTCCCTCAAACCTCAAGCCCGACCTAGCGAGCAAGACGACCATCGAAGGAGACGGCGGCGCGAGCTTGTCTGCTCCGTTGGTCGAGATCGAGCCACTCAGGTTGTCGGGACGGGAGAAGGCGAGTTTGATGGCGGACGAGGCGCCGAGGGAGGTCGAAGTCCAGCCTGTCTCGGAGCTGGAGAAGCACGTTGCGGAGACGCCTCTCCCTTCCACCGACGGCGCCGACGACGCGCGAGGAGCGCTCGGACGACCGACTTCGACTCGCGAGGCGGAGGCTATCAAGGCGTCCTTGAACGGCGGTCAAGGGGAAGAGGCGAGTCCAATGCCGCACTTTGGAGTCGAGGACATGCTGCCCCAAGCTCAGGGCCAGCGTGAACGAGGGAAGAACGACGTGGATGAGCGGGTTATCAACGCGATTCGAGGTGGCGAGTTGTAGCGGCTGAGCGAAGCGGTTGCGTCGCATCTCTCTGTGCATGACTAGCATGTTTGCGTCCACCCTGTACCCCCGTGATTCCCGTGGTGACGGAGTTAGATGGAGCTTGCTATTCCTGAGCGAGCGAGTCAAGGTGCTAGACAATACAAGACTACAACGACGACCAGACAGCCCGGGCACGACAACGAGATACTCAGGGTACACTACAGCGCAGGCGAACGAGTACATGGGACGGGGCGGGACGGGGGGATCAAGCCGTGTCTGCGTGGCAGGCCGAGGATCGTGTCAGCCGAGGGAGATGGAAGGGAGCGCGAGATGAGCGCACAGTAGTAGTACTCGTCGATTAGGGGAACGTAGTCGTGCAGCAGCGTCGCGACGAATCCAATGACGGGCTTGTCCTCGAACCTGCGTGCCATACCTTCGAGTTGCGGCCTGCCGGTCCACTTTCGTCAGTCCGCGCTCACGCAGAAGAGAGAGGGAGTGGACGCACTTGGTCCAACTCTCCCACACAGGTCCCCTCAGCAAGTACCACCAAAACATCCTTCCCCTCTTGCTCGTCTCCTGTCTCTCCAACTCGCTCGGTGTCGCGTGAGGAAGCATCGGCCCGCTCGCCTTGTCGGACGCGAGGCGTGTTGTCGATGTGGAGCGGAGGGAGAAGGCGAGGTATTCGAGCGAGAGCGAGAGGAGGTACGGGAGGGTATGGCGCCGGCCATATTTGCGCATTGCGAGGACTGCGCGCGCAAGAGTCAGTGAGAGCGCGAGGGGGCTGAAGAGAGGGAAAATGCACCGTAGATGAGTGGTCGGAGGATCCAGATGATCTCGGCGACTCGCTTGATGCCCTTGGCCTTCGCGACCAAGTCCTGCGGCCGCTTGACGTCCTCGACCGTCAACACCCTGCTCATCAAGTACTCCTTCCCTGCGTCCTTCGTCCGCGCGCCCACTCCACCACCAAACTGCGCCAACGGATCCGCCGCGTCCCCGCCCTCGCGTCGCAAAGACGCAAGCGTAGGCCTCACATACCCCGTCCTCGCGCCAGTCCAGAACTCGCTCTCCTCGACTTCGGCCTGCACCATCCCGAGTTCGAGGTCCGTCTGACCGTGTTCTTGGCGAAGAAGGACGTCGGCTGCGCTCTGAGGCTTCGGAGCAGCGGTCGCTTCTGAACCGTCCTTTTGCGCTGCCCGCCTCACCCGCGCAAGTCGTTCCCGGTTGAGTTCCAGCAGTCCGGGATCGACTTCCCTCTCTGCGACTGGAGGCTGGACGCCCGTACGTCCCTGCGTCGCGCCCATCAATCCGAGCCTGAGCAAGGCCTTGAGCGCCTCAATCGCAATGACCGTCTTTTCCGCTCCTTGGCGGCCCTTCTTCTTCCGCGCCACCATCTCGAGCAACAGCTCCAACGACTGAACGACGCTGAGAGAGTGGGCGAGGAGGTTGTAGGGCTTTGAATGGGTCGTGAAGTGTCGGGTGTAGCGGGTGTGGGAGGACGAGGGCGGGCGGAGCGGAGCAGGGAGGGCGGAGACGGCGCGGTGGAGGATCGAGTCGTGGTAGAGGCTGATCAAGTTCAGCACCGAGTAGACTGCGGCGATGCGATGCGTAAAGGTCAGCGGTGTGTGGGGAGGAGAGAGCGAGATGGGAGGCCGCACGCCCTTCGGATGCGACTTCGGCGTCTTGGAATCGGCCTGGGAGGAACCATGTGAGTGTTCGGAGGGTCGACTCGATGCTGGCGATGCGGGATGCGTTGGCGACCAGTCCTGCCTCGTCTGCGAGTCGCGCGAGTGAGCGGTCAGCTGAGTGGGTTCGCGGGTGAGTCTGGGAGTGTACACACAGTGCTGGAGTGCGCCTGAGACGGTCATCGCTGCTGCAGAGGGAGAGTGAGAGCGGTAAGGAGAGCGAGGAGGAGAAGCCGGACGAGACGAGTTGCCGGGTCCACCTCTCGCACCCTCGCAGAGTGACTGGCGAGTGTACTCGAAATTCTAACGAGTGTATTGCACGATTTACTGGCCAAGTAGCGAAGCAATCTGAGCAGTTGTGAGGACCCGTTGCGGGACTTAGGCAGGACAGCTCCACCGCCAGCTCGCGCTCACCACGCCGCTCAGCCTCGCTCTCGTGCCCTCTCCAGGCTCACAGCTGACACACACGGCGACCATGAGCACCGCCAAGACCCTCGCATCCATCGCCGCACCCGCGCCAGAGGTCATCGACGAGCCCCAGGTGCAGCCAAAGCACGAGTCGAAGAGGCAAAAAGCGCTGCTCGACGCCGGGCTCGCAGAGACGCGTGTCGAGCGCGTCAGGGTCGATGGATTGGTGCGTGGCGAGTTACTCTGGACTCGGGACGGGCGCGCAGAGGGCGAGGAGGGCGGACAGACGGCGATGGAGAGGATCCCTTTCTTCGGATGGACGCGCTACACAAGGCTTGCGGGGGCATGCTGAGGAGTGCATTGCTCCTCTGAGTGCTAGTGTGTACTTTCTGGGAGGCGGCACGCTGGTCTAGCGCTGGAGGACTCCCGCCTCATCCCCCTCATCTGTCGGAGCGATGGACGGGGCAAACCACCCATTCTCGCTTGCGGAACAGCTCCCCTGACTCGGTTGATCCCGCACACAGGCCTTGATGAAGATCATCAAGCACTCTCGCGAGTCGCACGCCGTCAACCCCGCACCCGCCAACACCTCGAACGCGACCGTCACCTTCTCGCCCGCGGTCGGCCAGCTCTTCGGAATCGACTCGAACGGAACCCTCGAGGTCAGCAATGCGTTTGGGTTGCCTGCTGGAACGTTTGGTGGACCTCCGTCGGACGGACAGGACGAGAGTAAGGGCGTCAAGGCTGGTGCGTTCGCAGAACCCGCTGCATCCGTTCGCTCGTACAGTCGGACTGACGCTTGTCGGCTTTTTGAAACCACGCAGCCACCAAGTACACCCAGCAGCTCGTCAGCCGCATGTCGGACCTGAACGCCGACGCCTCAGTCGTGGGCTTCTACACCTCGACCAACAACGGCCAGGTCCTCGCCACGGGCGGCTTCATCGAGGCGCTTGTCGGCGCACAATTGTCCGGCGGCGGAGTCGGGAGCCTCCAGCGTGCTCAGCCGGTCAACCGCGCGGGCGTGGTTGGGCAGAAGGGACCGGTGCAGTTGCCCAGTGGGGAGGCGAACAAGAGCGGGAAGGGCATCGCGCTTGTCTACGGTGCGTGCGGACATCATACCTCTGAGACGCGCAAAGCTAATGGAGTGAGCATGCGCAGACATTGCGAGCGCGACGCAGGGTGCTGTCGGCCTCAAGGCGTACCGCCTCTCGCAGGCCTTCATCGACGCGTACCGCTCGGGCAAGTTCGACACTGCTAGGTGCGTCGCCATTCGCTCGTCCGCGAGGACTCCGCTGACGTGCTCGCCCGTCCGCAGCCTGATCCAGCACAAGCTCGTTCCGACCAACATCCTCGAGGAGCTGCCCGTGACCGTCCACTCGTCCGCGCTCTTGACCGCCTTCCTCTCGACCCTCACCGCGCCGACCTCCTCGTCGCCGACCTCCCCCCTGTCGACACCCACCTTCTCCCCCCTCTCCCTCTCTTCCCCCTCGTCCTCGTCGCACATTCAATCGTCGCACACCCCCGCCCCGCTCACCCAACCGCTCCAACACCTCCTCTCTTCTCTCGAGACTCACCAAGCGCACCTCTCGACTCTCTCGTTCCAAGCGCGCCAGCTCGCGCGCGACCGCACCCGACTCGAGGCCACCCATCCGGCTGTCGCGAAGAGGCGCTTGGAGAACGAGCAGCGCGCGAGGGAGGGTCTCCCTCCTCTGCCTATGACGGACGACGAGGTCCGTGCGGGTTTGAAGGAGCCCAGCAGGCTCGAGACGATGTGTGCGCTTGCGGCGGTCGAGGGAGCGGCGAAGAGTCTTGCCGAGGCGACCGGGACGGCGATCGCTAGGGCGTATGGGGCCAAGGCGGGCGTCGAGGGAGCGGAGCCTGCGTCCGCTACGGCGTGAGCAGTCTCTCGCTTCGGTTCTCGCTTCGTTCCTCTCTCTCGCGCGCGTGTCTCTGTAGATCTCCACCCGCCGCTCTCGCTTACCGAGGCGGTTGACCTGTGACTGTCCTTGCAACCAAAACTACCGGGCGTTGCGCCTCATCCATCTCGGGGAGTCGTGCGAGACCTATGCTACTGACGAGTCGGCGAGAGAGGCGACGAAGCGCAACATCATTCTGATTCGTTCATTCGGGGGGCAGCATGTGCGTCCTCGACTGAGGAGCGTTGACGCTGCATGCTAGATTGCGCTGAGAGGAGTGAGCGCGTGGGATAAGGAGAAAGAGCGGAGCGAACGGGCAGAGGAACGCAGAAGCGGCGACGAATGGAGCAGATGACGCTGAGCGACGCGCTGAAATGGGGTGAGAAGGGTGCTTTGCAACAAGGTGTGTTGTTCGTTTGTCGAGGGCAAACCGAATCAGAGAAGAAGAGTCAGAAGAAGTCTAGGGGGTAGGATATGATTCTCGTCTCCCTCTTTTGGCGAACCGTCCATCAACCTAACACGCCTGGGCGCTTAGGCAGTCGACTCCTTGAGCCAAGTGATGAGGTCGTTGCGGTCCTTTGCCTTCTTGAGACCGGCAAAGGCCATCTTGGTGCCGGGGATGTACTTCTTCGGGTTCTCGAGGTAGTCGAACAGAGTGTTCTCGTCCCAGTGGACGGCGGCCTTCTTGTTCGCCTCGGTGTAGGAGAACGACTCGACCGAGCCGGACTGGCGGCCGAACTGGGAGAGCAAGGGAGGTCAAGGTCAGCGAGAGGTATTCCGAGAGCCAATGGCGAAGGGACGCGAAACGCACGAGACCGTGGAGGTTAGGGCCGACTGAACGTGGCGCAACGAGGAGAACGTCAGCGAACGGTACGGGAGAAGAAACACGCAACCATGCGACCGCGTCCGCCTCAGACAGTCTCGCCATCGCTCAATCCGCCACGATCGCCGACATCGCCCACGAGTCCTCGTTCGTCGGCTCCTCTTGCGCCGTCTGAGCGAGCGCAGTCTGTCCCTCGCTGCCAGATCCTCCAACATCCGCCAATTCTCGCCGTCCGCATCCTCCTCGACCCGATCGTCCCGCTCCTCGCTCTCGCGCGCAAACGATCAACGGCGGACTAACCCTTGTTGGCTGTTGCGAGTCGCGATCAAAGCAAAGCGAGACGGATCAGCATCTGTGCGTGCCGTCATTGGGCGACGCGGCGGGCTCGGCGTCCTCCCTCTGCCGGCCCTCCGCGCGCGCAAGAGAAGAGAAGAGGGACGCACCACCTCCGGACTCGACGGTGTGGCACTGCGCGCAGCTATCGGCGGCGAACGTCGAGCGAGAGTCAGTTTGCGATGCGATGCGGTGATGCGCGAAGGTCGTGCGCAGACGGGGGTGGCGCTCGTCGTGTAGCGCTCTGGCGGGAGGAGGAGTGAGACGCACCGGGTCTTGAAGAGGTTGGCACCCTTGGCGGCGTCACCTGTGCACCGAACGAGGCGTCAGTCAACACGCGCGAGGCTGGGTGTCGTCGTGGGTGTGTCGAGCAGGGACGAACCGGACTCGAATCCCACTGCGCGCGGCGAGGGCTGGGTCAGCTTGCGGTGTGTTGTGAGCGTGTAGATGGAGCGTACTTTTGTATTAGTGTGTGGTAAGGAGGAGGTGGCGAGGTGAAGAGAGCGAGAGAGCGGCGAGCGAGAAATGTTGCGCCGCACTTCGGAGCGAAGCGGATTGGACAGCACCCGCTCACTCCTCGCTGCAACGCTTCCGAAGGCGTACACTGCAGCCTCATAACATAAAAGGACTCGCTCGAGAGATGGCTGTCGACGGCGCCTCTCCCGACCGCACCAAGCCAGAACCCGACCTCTCCTCATGTTGGTCGACGACAGCAATCTCTCGCTCACATCGCTCTTTCACCCCTGCAACTGCTCAAACACCCTCTTACACGCGCTCGCACTGGGTCTACCGCTTCAACCCCGCCGCTACGCCTGTTACGGGTGGACGCACACTCGTTCCGCAGCTGCTCCCGTTGGATCCGTTCGTAGCTGGAGGAGGAGGCGGCGGGGGAGGGATGGGACGAGAGGGGTGCAAAGTTGGGACTTGCGGGTCGAGAGGAGCGGGCGGAGGAGGAGGAGGCGATGGGCGCGGCCGAGTTGACGGGGCGGAGGAGGAGGGAGTACCGTTCGTCGCTGGTCTTGCTTCGTTCCTGCTCATCCTCCACCATCAGCTCTCTCCAAACCAGAGAATAGCGGCCTGGACTCACTGCCTCTCCCCCACCCTCCCTCTCCGCTCCCTCACTTCCTCCACCCACCTCCTCAGCAAGAACCCGACCCTCTCTTCCTCCCTCTTCGCTCCCAGCACTTCCACCCGGACTTCCTCCCTACTCAACTCGCGCAGGCGGACGTGCGGGCCATCGCGAGAAGAGGGGTCGAACGTGAGGCGGAAGACGGGGTAGTCCTCGTCTGCGGAGAGGGTGGAAGGGTGGGAGGAGATAGTCGAGTGGATGAAGGACAGTAGCGAGCGGGCGGAGGCGAGACAAGCGCCTGGATCCCACGCATGCGGTTTCCCTCTCACCCTGTTCCACATCCATCGTCAGTTCCGTAAGCGAGGAAGGCAGGGGAGGGAGCGGACGCACAGGCGAGGAATGTCGAGCGTATTGAAGCTTTGTAGGCCGGTGAGGTGGCCGGCGCGGGTGCGGAAGCCTACTGTGACGGTTGGGACGCCGAGAAGGACTGTGTGGACGGTTTTCGTCAGCGGGAGGAGAAAGACAAGGGAGACGGGAGACGCACAGGACTGGACGTAGTGCTTGAGGAGCTTGTGTCTGTCCCCACGAGGCCCATCAGTCCCTCAATCCCGAAGAGGGGAAGGAAAGTCGCCTGCGCACCTCTCGAAATTCACCTCATCCCTCTGACTCTGAATCACCAGATTGGTCTTCAACTCGACAAAGTCCCTCGTCCCTATCCGCTCCTTGTCCGCTCCAGGTCGGACACAATCGACTTCTCCCCCGACGATGGTGCGGAACTCGCCCAGAGAAGTCTTGACGACGCTGCACCACTGGACGTTCGTGTTCGGTACGCTGAACTCTTCCGTAGCGGCGGAGGGAGAGGAAGAGGAGGTCGTGCAGAAGGATTCGAACGAGTAGCCGTAGTATGAGGCGAGGGCGTTGGATGATTCCGAGGCGGCTTTGGCGGCCAGTTTGGAGGGCGGATTCGATTCTTCGATGTAGAGACAACCCTGTGCGTCGCAAATCGTGAACTCGCATCAGCTGGGACTACTCGAAGCAATAGACTCGTCGATTGGAGGTCTCGCGCAACGCACGTCCAGCACCATGGCATTCATTTCCCACCCATCGACCCTTCGTCCCTTCGCAGCATTCTCCGCCTCGTACACCGCGAGCATCAGCTTGGTCATCATTCCTCGCCAGGTGATGACCGACACTTTGCTCAGGACGTCGTCTGCTCCGCCAGTGGAGTCGCGTGCGGCCCATGCTGATAAGCTAGTCGACCCGTCATCGTCAGCCAGGTCAACAGTGAGAGGCCAAGAAGGTGAAAGAGGGGACGCACGTATCAACCAACGCATCCAACCCCTCATCCACCACTCCATTCCTCCAAACCGCCTCCCCGAAACCCTTATTCAAGTCGCTCCCCATCCTGGGTTCGCGATACCAAGCCAATGCGTCGTCTTTATTCGATGGGTCGAGGAGGAGTTCGCGGGTGGGAGAGTAGGAGAAGGAGGTTAGGTGGTGAGGGAGCTGGAAGGTGGGTGCGGGGGTGGAGAGATAGTACGAGGGTGGGTTGATGGAGAGGGAGGCGCTCGGCGTTGGAGCGGTAGCGGGAGAGGAAGCGACGGCAGGAAAGGAGGGGATGGAAGGAGCTGCTGAGGATGGTTCGCCAGTCGCTAGGCGCTGGGCAGGCGGCTGCGCACCTTCGGGCGGAGGCGACGTGCGCGGTCGTTTGCGAGGAGGTGCAGACATCGTTGTGAGTGTGCTATACGGAGGGCAAGACCTGTCAGCGCCACCTGTCAGCGCAACCTGCCAGGACGAACGAGCGAAGCAGGTCCTCAGTGTCTTCCAGAAAACGCGGCGCACCTGTAGCTGAGCTCTGATTCTGATCCTCGAGCGGGGTTTCGGGGTCGTCGTAAGCTGTCTCGTGCGCCGTACAAGCCGTTGCAGAGTTGCTTGTCGTCGAAACTGATGAAGATGAGGAGGGGGGTGCAGTGGACGAGGCGAGAGCGCGGAAAGGGCAAGGCGCGTCTCCAGCCAATCGAGTCAGCTCGTAAGACACCACTCCCTCAGCGATTCGACAGCCTGTGTCGTTGGCGAGCGTGGACGGGAGCCGACCTCGAACTTGGCCTCTCTCGCTCAACCAAGACCCTCGCTGTCCTCGCTCACCTCGGATAGGCGCTCGTTGTGACGATGCCGAAGGCTCCTGAGCCTGACAAGGTACCGGTGAGTCGCGCCGTCCTTCCCAGCGGTCGGTACACCCTCCCGGACCGTCGCTCAACTTGACATCGCTCGCCAAACACAGATCAACTCGCCCGCCGACCTGCGCCATGAAGTCGATGCCTTGCTGGCAGTACTACAGCTGAACGAGACGGAGGACACGTGGGAAAAGATCAACAAGGCGCTGAAGCGGTTCCAGGCGGTCGTGAGGGGAGGCGCATGCCGCTTCACCGACGATTTTGTCGCGGCGATGAGGGACCCGAGGATGGCAAAGGGCGTCTGCAGATCCGTGAGTACTTTCGCGAGCCTACGAGCGCGTTCAAGCTGACCCTGCGGGATGTCGAACAGCTCACGACCGAACGAGGCGCCCTCAGCGGGACCGCTCTCGAGATGGTAGCTTCCTGCACTCGCCTCGGTCCTTCATTTGCTCCTCTTCTCGCCGTCTACTTTCCCTCCGTCCTGCGCCTCTTCGCCCGCCCGAACAAAGTCTACGTCACCCGCGCCGCCTCGACCGCCGCCTCGATTATCCGCAATACACGACTCGGCGAAGTCCTCCGCTTCATCGTCCTCGAATGGCGCAACGAAGGCGGAAAGAGTGCTTCGTTCCGCGAGCAGGCGGCGGCGGCTGTGGCTGTCATGCTCGGATGCGACACGGGCTCGTTGGCGGTCGAGAAGGACAGTCTTGAGCGGAGGATCGAGGATCTCGAATGGGTCATCAAGACTGGCGCTGTCGGGAGGGAAGCGACCGTGCGAGCAGACATGAAGAAGTGCTGGGAGGTGTACAGGCGCGAATGGCCGGACAGGGTCGCTTCGTGCGCTTCGCCTCCCTCTTTCCGCTCCGTTCTCGTGCTCACCGCTTTCGGTCCGCAGCTTCACGGCACCGATGACGCCTACAATCCGCAAGTACCTCAAAGTCGACCAGATGCATTCCTCCGCTCCGTCCACTTCCTCCGCTCCTCCAGTTCGCAAGCCGAACCCACCGCCTCCTTCAGCTACTACCCATGCACCGCCGCCTGCCCCTCCAGCCTCTCGCCCTGCGACCCTTCTCAGCAAGTCGCACGGTCCACCCTCGACACACGCACCCGCTCGTCACCCTCTTGCCGCCAGCGCGTCTACCCGGCCGCTGCCAACTGCGTCGTCATCGACCGCAGCGCCCAACGCCGCGCCATTGGCGAGCGTAGCTTCCTCTTCGCTTGGCATAGGCGCTCCGCCTCACCGCGCCGCACGGGTGGACCAGCCTCGCAGCGTCAGCGCATCAGCCTCGACCTCTTCATCTCGTTCGGCCTCGCGGAACGAAGAGCGCGACCCGCTCTCGGCGTCAACGAGCTCTCTTCACTCGACCGTATCTTCGGCTACGCACGCGAGCCGAGCTGGGTTCAAGCCGACGGCGCCGAGCAAGACGGCTCCGCTTGCGTCTCGAGCGACGCGGGCGCTTGCAGCGTCAACAGCGACGGGTGCGAACGGCATGACGACGATGGCGCCGCCGCACGAGCCACGCAAAGCTCGTCGAGTTGTCCAAGCCGCTCCTGCCGTTCCTCCACCTACTTCTTCCGCCGCACCAACTCCTGCTCCTACAGCGACGACTCTCGCACGCTCGCAGACGTCGTCAACTGCGCCGACACCCTCGGCAGCCTCTCGCTCGCACCCTCCCTCAACCTCTTCCACCGCTTCAGTTCCCGCTCCGCCCGGCTCTTCCCACGCACCCTTCCGCCCGAAACTTACCTCATCCACCGTTGCCGCCGCTGCTCTCGGCGCAACAGCAGCAGCCAAGACTCGCACAACCGGTGCGACCGCACGTCCCGCTGCTCCTGCGCCAGTCGTCGGCGAGAAACAGAGGGACAAGGAGAACGACAAGCCTTCTGCTCCTGCGCCCATTGCATCGGCTCGCCCAGCAGCCGTCACAGCACCTGCACCGCCCACCGCACCAGCCGCCTCGACCCGTACTCGTCCTCCGCGCGCCCGCTCGCCCGAAGTCGCCCGTCCCAAAGCCGTTCCCTCAGCCGCGACACTCGCATCTCGCGAACGCCGAGCAGCGCGCGAGAGAGAGAGGGAGAGGAAGGCTGCTGAGGAGGCTGCGGCGGAGGAGATGAGGCGGAGGGGGGAGAAGGAGCGTGAGGAGGAGAGGGTTCGGAGGGAGGAGGAGAGGAAGAGGGCGGTCGAGGTGCCGCTGCCTGTTGAGGAGGAGGAGGAGGAGCTGGCTGTCGAGGAGCACGGAGAGGTGGCGCCGGAAGCTGTCGAAGGAGAACAGGAGGCGGAAGAGGGAGATGTTGCGGTCGTCGTCGAGGAGGACGAGTCGCGCGAGGAGGCGCTCGTCGACCAGCAAGATGCGGCGATCGAGGCCGTCGAGCAGGCCGTCGAGCACGACGTCACACAGGACGTCGAGCAAATCGCCATTCAGCAGCCTGTCGAGCCCGTCGTCGTCAAGCAGGACCCTCAGCCCGCCATTATCGAGGCCGTCGATCCCGTTCACGACGAAGTTGGCATGGACAGCGACATGGTCGTGGAGTCGCTCCCCGCCTCACAAGCGACCGTCCCCGAAGTGGCGGAGGAAGTCGCTCCCTCCACCGAGCCTGATCACGCAGAGCAGGGGGAGCAGGCTCACAGCTTTGCGGCCGAGACTGCGGTGGACGACATTGTGGACAACATGCCGCCCTCAGCGGAGTCAGACGGGCCCCACGAGACCGACGTCTCTGCAGCGCAGGGGGTTGCCGAGCTGGAACGGGTCGTTGGCGGGGAAGTCCAGAGTATCGAGCTCGTGGAGGAGATAGTCGGGGCTGAGCAGGAGTCGCAGGACGAGCAGGACGAAGATGAGCACGTCCTTGACCTGCCCGAGGCGCTGAAGCCGGACGAGGAGCAGGCGGAAGGGTATGAAGACCTTGGGCCCGAGGCCGTCGTCCAACCCGCACCGGCCTACGATGATTTGCCGCCTTCGCTCCTGCTTGCCGCAGTCGTGTCGCCCTGCACGGCCGCGGCCGAGGACGACTGCGTTGAGGAGGCGCATGTGCATGAAGACGCTTTCGCCGAGTCGGCTGAACGGACAGCGACGCCACCGCCGCCCAGCATCTTCAGGCACAGCTCGCCTCTCCCTTCTCTCCTTCGAATCAGCTCGCCTTTGTCGCGGCGTACGATTGACACGCCACCAGTCTCGACGCCGACCGCCGCAACTCGCGACGACACTCCCTTCACCCCCGTCCTCCGCACTCCATCCGTCCGCTTCCCTGCACCCACTCTCGCTTTCTCTCCCGAATCGTTCCAGACCTGCTCCATCATTCTGGATACTCCACCCAAGCTCGACGATCCCCCTATGGCGGTCCACCTGCCAGGCCGCGCCGTTCCGCTCTCACAGGCGACTACCGGGTCAGACGAGCATCTGCTCGTAGGCTCAGAATCGGACGCGGAGGAGGAGGACGATTCCGTCTTGGCCTCGCCATCGCCGGCATCGCCAGGACCCCGCAGATCAGCCTCGCCTTCCACCTTCGCCTCTCACCCTCAGCCGGTTTTCTTCCCCGACGACGGCGACATGTCCGGCTACGACGCCGACACCACATTCGGCGACGAGATTGACGAGGACCAGTTTGAAGGCGGTACGGAGGCGAGTGCTGCAGAGGAGGACTCTTTCGCCGAGACGGAGGTCGCGGAGCAGAGTCGCGAATTCGTCATGCCGCTCAACGATACCTCGGCGTACGATCATCTCGTCCACGGCGACGAAGCCGAACACGACGACAGTGGGGCGGATGAGAGGGACGAGTCGCTCGCGTCGGAACAGACGGTGCAGCTCGAATCGCTCAGTACCGCGCCCGAGAATGACTCTGCGGGTGCTCCGGCGCAGGAGCTGGACGAGCGCGAAGACGAGGAGGACGATGACGAGGAAGACCCTCAGGACGTCCTCCCCGGATCTCCCGCCGGCACGACTCTCGACTTCTCCGACTTTGGCGTCGCAACCTCAAGCACGCCGTCAGCGGCCAACCGTCGCCCATTGTGGGACGAGTCGCTCCTCGGCGACGAGAGCGCCAACTTCGAACTCGAGCAGTCTAAGCTCCGCTTTCACGACGAGACCGAGTCAGAACACGACCTGAGCGGCGCCAGTACGGTTCTTGGCGACCTTCACATCTCGAGTCCTGCACTTCCGCCTCGCACGGCCAGGGTTTTCGAGGAACCACTGGAAGACGAGCCAACCGTCTTCAAGCGTTCGCTGCGATCCCGCGTCGTGACGGTCGACTTGCACTCTTCGACGAGCAAGACGCCGGGTCGTGTCACTCGTGCCATGGCGTCGTCAGGGAGGGACGTGCTGGGCGAGATGCAGGCGTGAGTGGACTGTTCGGTTCTTCCTTTCGCTTTTCTCCGTTGTAGATGGGTTTTCTGCACTTTGCACAATATTTTTGACTGCATCTGGCTCTCAATAGCCTGATAGACTGAAGTGTCGAGCCAGAGAACAACCTTCTCCTCGTCGTTCAACCTTGACCTCGCTTGCAACTAACGGGGATGGCCGACGACGAGCTGGATCCCGCTTTCCTCGACTTGGACAGCCATGCACATGCGCTCGACTCGCTGGACTCGCTGGGTCCTGGTTTCGGCTCTTCGCTCGACCCCCTCGACGACGAACTCGGCGACGGCTTTGGCAGGGCGCTGGGGAACGAGCTTGATGCGCTAGACGGGGTGGAGGATGGACGAAATGATCTGGACGGGGCGGGAAGGTCCCGGCACTCGAGCAGGACAGCGAGTACCCTGGAACTCGTTGAGGATGATGAGGACGAGGACGGTGGATCTCGGTTCTCAACGCCGCAAAGACGACGACAGAGGGCACCGAACGCGCCTCAAAGCCTGGCTTTTGAGCTTGCGAGTGCGGCGAGACCGCAGCGGCATCGCGACCTCATGAAGGAACTCGGACTAGACGACGAGGACGGCCAAGGTCTCGAGGGTTCGTCGAGCGACGATGAGGGTGGCGCAAGCTCTGAGATGGACGAGCGGGAGGCGCGGCAAGGGCCGTCGTCCTCCGCCAGTCCTTCAGCAACCGCTTCAGATCCGTTCGCCTCACCCCGGAGACCACAATCTCGCCTGCATTTCGACACTCCCGCCTCCTCCGCTCCGAACTCTTCCAACATGTCAAGGACTGGCACGCTCGACGGAAACGACGAAGTGGAGGAGGACAACTTGGCGAAGGAGGCGGAAATCGATGCCGCTCTCGAAGAAGCCTCTGCCTCTCTTACCGACTCGATTGCCGCTGCCACGTCCTTCCTCGACCACCTACGACAGCATACCACTTCGTCAGAAACCCAACCTTCAACCGCAGCGACGCCCTCTTCTCTCTCTTCCGCTCCTTCCGGCACGGCGCCTCCCGTCGACTACACCGATCGCCAACCTCGTGTCGAATCTCTCGCTCAATCCGTCCTGCGAAACGTCGTCGACCTCGCCCAGCAGCGCGAAGCGCAGGTTCGCGAGCTGACGGAGGCGGAGCGAGTCTTCGCGCGTACTGACGCCGGCTGGAAGGCTGTCCTGGCCGACCTGGAGCCGCTCGATCTCGAGGAGGAAGACCCATCGACGACACATGGATCTGAGGCGGATTCAGCAGCCACCTTGCCGAATGGCGACCAGCTCGAGGACGGTACTCGATCCGACCAGCCTTCTCACCTCGCCCCTCTTCCGCCTTCTCTCTCCGCCCAAGCTCTCTCCGAACTTGCCTCACTCCGCACTCTCACCGCGTCGCTCCTCTCTGCCCTCTCCTCCCTCTCCGACATCACCCAAATGCAGTCAGCCCTCGCCTCCGATGCCGGCCGCAAGCTTCGAGCGCTCAAGGCGCAAGTGGGCGGTGTAAAGGACGACTTGCTCGCGATTGAGCGGAGCGAGGCGTTCGTTCAGGCCTTTGAGAAGCGGGAGGGGACGGAACGGTGTGGTGGGAGGTATTCGGCGCGCGCGAGGGGAGAGTTAGTTGAGGTAGAGAGGCGGTTGGATGAGGGCTGGCGGAAGGCGCAGGAAATCTTGACTATCAGGGCATGACGCGGGACGAGGAACGATGGCAGGCCGGAAGAGCCGGCAGGATACCCTTCCCTTCGCATTCGCACACAATCACCCACTTCGCCTTTCGCATTCGTACCATTCCCGCTCGTCCTCGCAGTCTCGTTATTAGCATTCCTCGTCGTTCCGTGCTTGCGTCTTTGCATGCTGTCTTCGCACTCGCAACTCGTGTCGTTTACCCTCAAGCCCTCGCGCGCCCTCGTTCGGCAACCGCGTAAGCTTGACCCAGATAGATAGCACAACCCCAAAACATACGGCCACGATATAATACTTTGCTATTCCGGCGCTACGACAGTGCCGCCGGATCTTGTTCCCTCGTGAAATGCGCCGAGTCGCCATCCCACAGGACTTGTAGGCGCACTCGCTCGTCGTACGAAACTGCGCGAGGAAGAGCGTGAGCGCGAGTAGTATGACGAAAGAGGTGGAGGCAAAAGCGACTCACGGTGCTCATCCCAGCTGTCTGCCTGGATGAAAGTGAAGAGCGCGGACTTGGGCGAGATGACCTCCGTCGATTCCTGCGAGTCTGAGGGTCAATACGAGAGCATCTTAGAGACGAGAGAGGGAGGCGCACGATGTAGAAGGTCTGCTTGACGGGACCAGGACCGTGGCGTTCTGGCATGAAGGGTCGGTCGTCGAAGCAGAGGCGGTAGCCGTCGTACCAGGTGTGCTCCTGTGCGCCAGACGGTCCAAGACCATTCAGTCTTCGATCTAGGGGAAGAACAACCAAAAGCGAAAGCTCGACACACCATGGCAGACATGTCCTCCCTCGTCAACGGCTTCTCATAAAACGACACCGAGTACCCCATCGTAAGCAGCCACTTCCCGTCTCCGAAGACATAACGCTGGAACATGTTGTCGCCTCCGAGGAAGTCGGCAGCGGCGCGGATGCGGCGGATCTGGTTCATGTCCGAGTGGGTAGAGCCGTAGCCGAAGAGATGGACCCAGCCGCCGCCTAGGAAGCTGCAAGGAAACGAACGTCAGAAGAGGAGTGGATGACAACGGTGAGGTGACGCACTGATGTAGCGAGAGCATGGGGATACCGCCTTGCAACACGCCAGTCGTGTCCCCGGGGATATCGAATTCTGCGGGTCTCGAATCTTATCAGCCTTGAGAGCGAGAACGAGGAATATGTCGCATCAAGCGTTAGGAGAGGAAATACGCACGATGCAAGCCCTTCTCCTCCGTCGTGACAGTCGACTTGGTCAACCCCGTTGCAGTCGCCGCACACCGCGTCAACATCTCGTCTCCGCCGAAAGCGTCCTTGAACCGATCGTAGCATTCATCCCAGATGTTGTACATCGAGGTCATTAGGGCGCGGGAGACGAGTGCACCGCCTAGTTGCGGAAGGAGGTCAGCAAGATGGCGCGGAAGGCGGGAGAGAGGGGACGTACCACCGCCAAAGAGCATCCGCCCGAACTGCGCTAGCTGCTTTTCCGCCTCGGTGGTCGAGCCAACTGTGCGAGCGGCAATCGTCAGCGCAAAGCAGCGGGCGGAGATGGAGAACAGAGCGAGACGCACCGAACCACTCCTTCGCCGGGTCGTATTTCGACAACATACGTCTTGTCGCGCGCATGTCGAGCCAGAAGGTGTCGCTGCGAGAGAAGAGGAGATTAGCGGAAGGGAGGCGACGGGAATGAGAAGGTCGTCCGTACTCGTCGTTGAAGATGTACCAGTCCGGCGACAGGCTGCGAGGTCGAGAGTCAGTATGTGTTAGTCTGAAGGTGGACATCGCAACATCTTTCCAACCGGCTGACCGTCCATAGGAAGGATCGTCCCGCAGAGAATCGAAAGGACGCACCCAACTTCCGCCGCATAGTCCTTCATCTCCCTGATCATCGACAACACGCGCACCTCATACCGCTTGTGCTTCCCACGTCTGATGCCGCACTGCACCTGCCTGTGCCTCAGTACCTCTTCGAGCTCCTGGATATCCTCCTGCGTCTCCTCCTCGCTGACGAGTATCAGGCAAGCCGGCGCCGCCTCGTTGTCAGGGTATCGCGGTACCATCCACCTAGTCCACAACTCGCTCATCTTTGTCGCCCGCTCGGTGGTCGTGACGATTCCGAAGAGGAGCTTGTCGCCCGCGGGAACATTCGCGCCGACTCCATTCGAGTTGGGCGAGAGGCGGATCTTGCGAGGGAAGACTTCGACTTTGTGCGAAGGGATAGGTGCGGCGTCGGCATCGTGTCGAACGAGCGCTCCGCCGTCTCCAGATGCGTCCTCCGTCCCTGCGAGGCGCAAGATCGCAGGCATGCGCTTCTTGCCCTGTTTCCGCGCGGGTAGGAGTGGTGTTGCAGACCACGGGACAGGGTCTTCTGGTCTCCGTTCCCGCTCAAAGGACCGCTCGACGGGTCGGAGGATCACGGCGCGGTGGTCGACCTGGTCCAGCTCGGTAAAGAGGGCGGGTGACATGCCCTTCCGCTTGAAAGGCCGGTGTCCATCGTCGAAGGCGGAGAAGGGGCGAAGGGGCGAGACGAAGGAGAGGAGGAGGAAGGTGCCGAGTGCGGCGCAGGCGAGGACGGTCAACCGCGAACGAGGAAGCGCAGTCCCGCCTTTCTGCGCGCCGTTGAGGTGCTCGAAGCCGAGCGACGACGGCGGGAGGTGCGGAGACTTCCACGGCGAGTGCGACTGTTGGCGGAAGAAGACCATGCGGCCGAGAAGGGTAAGGGAGCAGCGAACGGCGAAAGAAGCCGGCGGCTCGATGGCGAGGTCTCCTAGGTTGTCCGGCGAGTTTGCGTGGTAATGTCGGGACTGTGCAGCACCGCAAAGAGTGTCAGCCTGCGGTCCCTCGAGGATGTCGACGGGGGAAAGACGGGGTCCAGCCGGGGAATAACAGACGCGGCGAGGGCGGAGATGTGTACGGCGGGCTCACCGTCGTGTGCGGTGGATCCGTCACGGGCAGATGGACGCGTCCACAGCGGGCAGAGCAACAGCAATACGGCGCAGGACGAGCGAGCGGGCGAGGGTAAACCGTGCTGCGACCCGAAAACAGGCCCCCCCTTCGATTGCTTGCAGCCCTTCTTCTGGCGTTCTTCCTCCCTGTCGCAGCCCTCATCCGGGTCCCTTCGTCGCGTGCAGAATGAAAACCTTGTCCGCGTTCTTCACCGAGCAACCGAAGCAGTTCTTTCGCTTCTTTGGGGCATCAGAAAGCACGAAGCAGCCTGTCCAGTCTCGCCAGAGTGCTCGACTGCCTTGATGATGACATGCTCGTCGTCAAGGACGTCCCTCGCCGACCCCGGCCCCTCCTCCGTGAGCGCGAGAAGGTCGCGATTTGACACGATGACGCAGGCGGACAGGCGCGAAGTGGACGCCGTTGGTGCTGCGAGGTCAGTGAGCACAGCCCGCCATAGCCGAGCGAGGCGAGTTGAAAAGCGACGAGGAGGACGAGAGAGGACTCCGCTGCAGACTCTCGTCGTCGCAGGAGGCGATTCATACGCTACGTTCTGCAGCTCTATCGTCACAACAGGACTAATTCGACCGCACAAAACTGCTACAACCGCGAGAACCGACGAAGACAGACCCTCTAGACCATCTCCTCCGTGAAAGTCGGGCCGCTCGACGCTCGTCTCCTCCTGTCCTCCTCGTCCAGCTCTTCGAAAAGTACCTCGTCCTCCTCCGCGAGCGTCTGGTCGTCCTCGCTCTCTCGCCTCGCAAGCCGAGCGAACGGCCGCTCAACCGATTTTGGCGTCCCTTCCTCCTCCCCTGATTCCCCCAGTGCGCCGTCGAAGCGAAGCTGATAGCTCTGCAACCTCCCGCTCCCTGCAAACCTCGGCGAAAGGGGCGTAAGAGGCGGCGAGTCGAATAACCCGGTCTGGCCGAACGAGCTGGGCGACCGACCGTGAACGTTCGTCTCGACTTCGACGCGGATACCGCTCAAAGCTCCGGTCATTGATGTGGCCGTTGCGGAGGAGGATTTGCGGCGGGCGGAGTTGAGGAGCGTGAAGGGCGAGGAGAAGGGCGGGAGGAAGGAGTCTCTGCGACCTTGCGAGGAGGAGGCGAACGAGATAGACGGCCGAGGGAGGTGGGAGAGCTTGCCAATCGCTGTGATCGTCCTCGTTAGCGCACTCGCGAAAGTATCGAGACTGTCGTACGCACACTTGCCGAACGACCCACTCCCGCTTCCTCGTCTCAACGCATCGCCGATCCCGTCGAGCGAGACGATCTTGCGCGTGAAGGCGTAGATGCAGCAATTTGCGGCGCCGGACAGGGTGAAGATGAAGCCTGCGCCGAGGGCGTAGTGGATTGAGAGCTTGTGACCTGTCATATAGGCGAGGCGGTAGATGGAGAGCGGGAGGCTGGAGAGGCGGATGTCAGTGCGGTTGCGTGACCAGGAGGAAGCTGGACGCACATGGTCACGATGTAGACGAGCGGAAAAAGCATCATGATCCGCCAGACCTTCGCAGGGCCGTTAACCTGCTGCTGGCTCAAGCTCCGCCTTTGCCACGCCACGTAAATCGCGATAACAGAGTAGAAAAGGAGGTCGAAGAAGGCGACGATGAAGACCCAGAGGTAGTGGAGCTGTAGCGCAGGCGGTCAGTCGGGCGTCGAGCTGAGGGAGACGGAGGGAACGCACGTAGAGCCGCTCGCGCTGGTATGGCGTGTTCATCCAGCACCATCCACCGGCAGGACCGTCTGTGAAGGCGCGCTTGATCAGTCTACGCCGTGAGAGGTGAGAGGAGGAGCGGAAGACGCACAAAACGGCACCTCGGCACCGCGTCTCGCCAGCGGTCCCGCAAATGTCATGACCGCGACACCAATCCACTCGACAGCCAATATGCCCCAAATCCACTTCATCGACGGCGTGATCTTGAAGACGAGGACGAAGAGGAGGTTGATGCAGATCACAAGGGAGGAGAAGGCGGAGCCGAGGTCGCCTGCTTGGATGAAGACGGCTTGCGCCGTGCAGAGCGGTGTTGGGTGAAGGGACGAGGGGAGAGCGCCGCGGGTGATCCACTGTTGACGATTGGGAGAAGCGGAAGGTCAGTCGCTGGGAAAAGGGATGTCGACACGCTACGCACGCCGTAGTTCATGGCGAACCCGATGCCTTGTAACAGGTCACTGCACGACGCGAGCCACAAGTCAGCCAGAATCAAGGTAAGCTCGCCGCGAAACAAGCGCACCCGGTGATCAGCGAGAGGAAGAGAACGCCATGGCTCGACGCGAGGAACTTGATTGCCCGCGTCTCGTGGTCGACCCGTTCCACTGCACTTTTGTTGTAGTACCGGTAGAGAAGCCAGGCGATCCAGCTGCCGAGGAGGACGACGAGGGAGAGCGAAAGGGTCGCTGCGATGGCTACGGCATGCATCCCCGCTTGTTTGTCGCCCAGCGGGACCCAGTACGCGTCCGACATGCTCGACAGCTCGACTGAACCTGCCGTTGTGCGACTCGCGCGGACGACGGCGGGAAGATGGTCCGATGATTTCGGTGGAGTAGGCGGTGCGTCCAGCGGTCGCGTCGCCTTCTCCGGAGAGGTGCGCCTCGCGAGAGACCTGGTAAGCAGCTAGCGGGATCCTGCAATGCGCAGCGGAGTGTAGAACAAGCGAAAGAAGCGATTTGGTCGACCATCCTGGGGATCCCTCGTATCCTCCGCACACGTCGATCCCTCCGGGTAAGCACGCCGTTTGTGCCACAGCGGGACATATTACTGTGAGCACGCTAGACCAATCGGCAGCATGGCGCAGAGGAAGTGAAAGGGCGAGTTCCTCGAGTGGAAGGAGGCGAGCAGCCGGCTTCTGGCCTGGAACGCGACGACTTCGCCTGTGAAAGCGACTCCTTGTCCTGTTCTGCGCGAAGCCATCGAAGCATCGGCGTACCCACCGAACTCAGGAAGGGCAGAGGGCGGGCTGTCAAGCCTTTTCGTCGAGAAAGCACGGTCTCCGGCAGAAGCCATCTCGCCTACCGCCTGCGTCCCCGTCCGCATCGTATGCGACGCTGTTGCGCTGCAGATCGCTTGAAGTCGTCCGTGTAACGCCGTTGGGAGAAGCGAGCCCGTCGAGTAATGCCCAGCGCAGCGCAAGAAACGAGCAGATGCTTGAGAAGGCCAACTCCGTTACCCGGTCGTCAAGCTACCGTACGCCCGCAGTAGCCGCGCCTTGGTCATGCGCTCGCGCAGTTTCGGCTTGTAGCCGGTCCGCCTCCATTTGCCGCACAAGCTCGAGGCGGGCGGCGTCGGCAGCTTCGAGTTCTGCTAGGCGCGAAGGTGGGTCGAGGAGCTTGACGCTGTAGAGGGGTGGCAAAGGTCAGCTTATCACCACCGGCGACGCAGAACTCAGCTAAAGCGACCGCATGGGCGACGAGTGGATGAGGCGGCCGACAAGCTGAGAGGCGAACGCACAGGAAGCGCGGCGTCTCGAGCCAGTTCCGCCCGCCCGATGCTCGTTCCCGCTTCCAGATCTCCGTCCAGAAATACCTGCGTGTAAGAGCGTCAGTCTGCGAGGGAGACCTGGCTGACCAAGTAGCCAGCTAGCAAGCAAGTTGCGCTCGAGCGGCTGATTCGCTCCAATCCATACCGACTCGCCGCATGAGAGACGAGAAAGGAGAGTGGACTCACCACCAATGCCCCGCCGCAATGCCCAACAAGTCGCTCACGATCACACCGAGTCCCCATCCGCCTCCAAGCCCGACCGCCGCGCCGCCGCCCGACGAGAGCGCCCATGAGAAGAGGCAGAGGGCGTAGGGGAGGTAGGGCGCTGTGATGGTGATAATGCCGAAGAGGGAAAGGCGGACGAGGGGATTGAGGCGCGACCAGAGGTAGACGAGCTGAGTGAGCGCAGGAGATGGCGAGGTCGGGTCAGCAACGAGTTCGAGCGGGTCGGACAGCCTGTATCGCACAGCCGGAAAGCACGGGCGGGGACTAACAGTGAAGGAGAGGGGCGAAGAGAGGAATGGCGAAGGGCTGAGCGGGCTAAGGATCTGTGGCACCACGCGAGATTAGCGAGACGCAATACGGGAAGTCCGGGAAAGCAACAACTCACGAGAAGGAGGGTGCAGCTGACGACCAGCAGCCACACGTAGTCTGCTCTTCGGCCGTGAAAGGCGGATTCTTCGAGCATCTTAGAGTAGCGCATGCTGTTCGAGCGAGGTAGGCAGTGTCAGCTCGCATACACAATTGGCTTCACACATTGTGTAACGTTGAACAAGGCGGTCGTCAGACGCAGTTCCAGGAGGATATGATACCCACAAGAAGAAGAGATGGAAGAAGAAGTCGAGCGAGAGCGGTCCCCAGTACAGGAAGCATGTCGCTAGTCGCCAGATCTGTGAGCCCGCAGGGTGAGTGCAACGTCAGCGTCACAATGTTCGCCTGGAATGACGCGACACTGTGTTGGCGGCGCACCTGTCCCTTCTCGATGGCCTGGCGGTAGGTGAAGTAGAGCTGGAGCGGCGTGACGAGGTTGCATTGCTAATCCCAGACCCACAGTCAGCTTTGCTAGACCGTAGCAGACCCTCAGGCGGACTCACTACGGCGACGCTGGTCCCCACCGCCCCTCTGTCGGTCCGAACGAGGAGGAGCAGGTCGGCGTAGTCAGCTTCATCGGGCGATCTGCCGTGTTTAGAGACTCGCACGCACATCAGGTAGGCTGTCGTGACCGGCGGAATGTCCAACCCCTCCATTCCTCACGCACGAACGGGTCGAACAGGCGATGACAGCGGCGTGGTCGCAAGTGAACGGCACGGGGACGGTCAAGAACGAGCTAGAGCAATCAGAGCAGCTCTCCACACACGATTCAGCTGGTCAGCGCCTGTCCAGCGAGTTGTCGGCGAGCGGTACAGTCCTGACCTCGCAGGTTGGCCTCTACCGCGACTTCGCTCGCTCCGCTTACCGGCTGGACGGGCAGAGACAGCGCAGACCCGCTTTGCAGCTCACTCTGACGGCCTGCTAGATGCTTCCCGGGTCGAACAATCCCGAGTCTCTGTCGCCCGCCTCATCACCTTCGCTTGCATCCCTCACCCGCAAACGACCGCTCTCGTCGCCTGTTTCGACTGCGTCCGCGCCCAAAAGAGCCAACTCGGAAGACTTGATGGATCAGGGCGCCTCGTCGGACCTCGAGGGGAGCATCGGCGCCAGCAGGCTCAACATCGCGAGCACCCCTCGCTCGCCGACCTCTGCCTCGCCCGCGTCCGACCAGGGCGATGTCGACGCCGACGAGACTCTCACGGCGCCGCCAGAGATGGACCAGAATGGCGCAGAGGGAGAAGTGGACGAGACGGGCGGCCTCCCTTCCGTTGGAGACGACGAGCTTCCGCCGTACGAAGCCGCGTTCCAATACAACGGCATTGCGCCCGACATGCAGCTCGAGTTCGTCAACGAGGCGCGGAAGAGACAGCTCGAGGAAGGAGACGCGTGGTACATCATCCCGCGAACCTGGTTCAGGCGTTGGCAGGCGGCTTGCTCGGGCGTGCAGGAGTCCAAGGACGACGACGCTTCTGTGACGCCTGAGGAGGTCGGACCGATCGACCTGACGGTACTTTACGACGAGAAGGGCGACCTGCGCAAGCCCTTGACGATTGGTGTCGACGTCGAGGTTGTTCCGGCCGACGGCTGGGGCTACCTCACGCAGTGGTGCGTCGACTGTCGTCATAAGGACGCGACTAAGGCTGACCCGCTCATCGCAGGTACGGCGTTACGGGGACGCCGTTCGAACGTGACGTTGTCGCGCCTGCAGGACCCGGCAGCGAGATGATCGAGTTCTACCCTCCCAAATTCCACCTCTACCTCCTCGTGCCAACGTCATCGCCACCGGATGCTTCGGTCTCTCTGCCCTCTTTGCCAAGCCCGCCGACCGTCTCCTACGCCTCATCCGCCCAGTTCTCCAGGCTCGTCGAAGACGCCGCCTCGGCTTTCGAGCTCCAACGCCCAGTCCGCCTCTGGCGTCTCCCGCCCATCAGCGACGAGCTCTCGGCGCACGAAGGCGCCGCATACGTCTTCACCGACAAGCTGCGGGAGACGGGTGTCGAGTTGCTCGACCCGAAACAGATCGGCGACGAGACGACCCTCCAGGACGCGCTCCTCACGGACGACGAGACGCATCTCGCGGTCGAGCAGCAGAATGAGGACGGAGCGTGGATGGTGGATGCCGAGGCGCTCATGACTGCCCTCGCGGCAGCAGAGACGGACGCGCCGCCTTCCGAGTCGGCCCCGCCGCTTCCTGAGGAGGACAAGGGCGCGACGAAGAAGAGCGGAATCGGCATCTTCTCGGGCGGCTGGTCCTCGGGGCTGCACAAGCCGAAGACGCCGGGATTCAGTGCGGGCAAGGAGAAGGAGAAGCCGAGGAGCGGCAACGGTGGAGGCATCTTGGGCGCTGCCATGGGGGCTTTGACGCGGAGCAAGAGTACGCAGCAGGGTCAGCGGGGACTCGTCGGCTTGCAGAACCTCGGAAAGTGCGTTGGAGCTGAAGTGCTCTTGAGCCAGATATTGTGCGACAGCTTGCTGACCCGTTCCTTCACGTTCATCCTCACGCGCAGCACCTGCTTCATGAACTCGGCGATCCAGTGCATGAGCAACACGAAGGAGCTGCAGGAGTACTTCCTCTGTACGCCATCTGGCCAGTCGTCAGCAGGCTTGAGCTTACCCTTCGCTTCTGCAGCCGGCGTCTACCACTCGGAGCTCAACCGCGAGAACCCGCTCGGCATGCGCGGCCAGGTCGCCGAAGCGTTCGGCCAGCTCATCGAACGGCTGTGGAACGGCACGGGCTCGTCGGTCGCGCCGCGCGAGTTCAAGCAGGCCCTCGCCCGCTTCGCGCCGCAGTTCTCGGGCTACGGCCAGCAAGACTCGCAGGAGCTGCTCGCCTTCCTCCTCGACGGCACGCACGAGGACCTCAACCGCATCAAGAAGAAGCCGGCGACCGAAGCGCCCGACTGGGAGGGTGGCGGCGACAAGGAGATGGTCGAGCTCGCCAAGACGTGCTGGGAGCAGTACCGCAGCCGGAACGACTCGGTCATCGTCGACCTCTTCCAGGGCCAGTACCGCTCGACAGTCGTCTGCCCCGACTGCGACAAGGTCTCGATCACGTTTGACCCGTTCATGTACGTCACGACCAACCTGCCTGTCACGAAGAAGTGGACTGGCCGCATCATCGTCGTTCCCCTCGACGCCGCGCGCGGAACGCTCGCCGTCGACCTCGAGGTGCCCAAGTCTGGCACGATCAGGACGCTCAAGGCTGCCGTAGGCCAGCTCGTCGACATTGACCCGAAGCGCCTCATCATCACGGAGGAGTGGCACGGCAAGTTCTGGAAGGACTGGAACGACGACGAGTCGGTCACCGAGATCGGCGGCAACGACACCATCATCATGTACGAGACGACTGCCCCGCACCCGCAGCCTCGCCCTCGCAAGCCGCGTCCAGAACAGCCCGCCAACCCTACGGCACCCGTCATCCTCCCCGTGTCGCATGTCAAGGACACCAGTTCTGGCAGGATGCGCTTCGGTACCTACTCGCCAGACATGTGGGGCACGCCCTTCATCGTCACGCTCACGCCCGAGCAAGCCTCGAGTGTCGCCGGCATCAAGCGCGCGCTCGCCCGGCACTACGCGCGGGTGACCAAGCGCGGCGACGAGCTCATCGAGATCGTAGAGGAGGAGATTGCCGAGGACGAGAAGCTCGCACTCGCGGCCGAGGAGACCGACAGCGTCGAGCCGTCCACCATCAACTCTTCGACCGAGCAGTCGCAGGCGTCAACGCCGCCCAACGAAGCCATGGACGTTGATGCCGCGTCTGCGCCGATGGCCGCTTCGAACGACGACACTTTCGTCCCGACAGTCGTCGGTCCTGCTCCTCCGGTCACGAGCAACATGTCCTCTCTTTCGTCCGCAGCCTCCTCGCTTCTCGCGGGTCCTTCTACTACTCCTTCTACAGCGCCTTCCACCTCGACTCCCGCACGGCAGCGCCGCATGCCCTTCCGCGTCGAAGTCTCAAAGCGAGCGCATCCCGAAGGCCGCATCCCGGTCAACCAGCACACGACGAGCGACACGGTCGAGCTCGCCGAGTACGCTCGGGTCGTCCAGGCTGTTCGAGCACACAGGCAGGCTGGCACGCCGAAGCCTGAAAGCGAGGACATCGACATGTTCTCGCCGAAGGCTGAGCGCGGCGATGATTCCGAGTCGGCGGACGCACAGGACAAGGACTGGGAGAAGGTCGAGAAGCCGCAGCCGGAGGACGTCGAGGTCAAGCCGGTTCCGCTCCTCACTACCGGTCACTACGTCGTCGCGCACTGGGAGCCGGCGGCGATCGACTACTTCTTCAACAATGAGACCGCCACATGGTCCATCGTCCAGGACATCGTCGATCCCGCCATCACCGCGCGCCAGCAGCAAGGCAAGGGCGCGAAAAAGGTCATTACGCTGTCCGACTGCCTGACCGAGTTCACCAAGGAGGAGCGCCTCGGCGAGGACGACATGTGGTACTGCTCGCGGTGCAAGGAATTCAAGCAGGCGACGAAGAAGGTCGAGCTATGGAAGGTGCCGGACGTCCTCGTCTTCGCCCTCAAGCGCTTCTCCTCCGGCCGATGGAGTCGCGAGAAGATCGACGACCTCGTCGACTTCCCCGTCCTTGAAGGTCTCGACATGGAGCAGTTCGTCCAGGGCGACAAGGTCGAGCAGCGCCTCGCCCAGCAGATGCCCGATGCGCCCGCCATCTCCGAGCCCGACTCGCTCGTGTACGACCTGTACGCCGTCTCGAACCACTTCGGCGGTCTCGGCGGCGGCCATTACACTGCTTTTGCCAAGAACCCAGAGAACGGCAAGTGGTACGACTTTGACGACGTGCGTACAGAGCTCCCGCAATATGAGCTCGGCCCGTTAGCTGACCTGTCCGCTTGTTGCAGTCCCGTGTTACCGAGATCAACGCCGAGCGCGTCAAGTCGTCGGCCGCATACTTGCTCTTCTACCGCCGACGAACGGCGCGGCCCATCGGCGGTGCCAAGTCGCGCGAGCTGGTCGAGTCGGCAAACGCCTCTCGTGTCGCGTCCGCCGCACCTTCCATCGCTGCCTCCGAAGCCGCACATTCGCCTTTCGCATCTCGCGAGAACCTCAATGCGTCGACCTCGACGGAGGATTTCTTCGGCTGCATCGTCAACAAGTACGGCTCATCGTCGGCTTCGCGCACTGTCGACTCGAGCGACGACGAGCTGCCCGTCCCAGGCTCCTTCCACACCTTCTCCTCTCACCACGAGCCGTTCGCCCGTTCCAGCCTTCCCTCGTCCGCCTATCAGCTCGACACGCCCACAACGGACGCCGACGCGCCTCCCTCACCACCCGAATCCGTCGAACCAGGCTCGCCGAAAGACCTGAGCAGCCTCGGCGGCGATGACGCGTGGACGAAACAGACGCTGCCCGACTTGACCGACTCGGAGGTTGTAGCCGTCCCGCCATCTGCTGGTCAGGACGACGCTCAAGCGGACGAGATCAAGCTGCCGCAGGGACCGAGCACTCTCGACACACTCGAGTAGACAACTGTCCCAGTCGCACCGCACCAAAAAGGGCCATCAGTGTCTAGAGTCGCTTTCACCTCGTCCGAAGTTCTGCTTTCTACTCGCAACCTCGTAGTCCTTTCATCGTTCTATATCGTGGTCTACTCGCTCCTCTCTGTGCTGTAACCTCTTGAGCATGTCGATACGACTTCATTTTTCCTTCTCGAGAGTGTCTGTGTTTTCGCGTTCCGGCCCGCTTAGAAGTCGAGCGTGCGTCCCTCCTTGCTCGACTGCTCCGCCAGCTCGATGACCCGGATGGTCATCGCTGCTTGCTCCGGCTTGACGATCAACCTGTCGGCGCCGTTCTTGAGTGCGTCGGCAACGTTGGCGAACCAGCTCGCATAGTCGCCCTTCAACGATTCGACCTTCTCCGGCTGGTTCGGGTTCTCGAGCTTGTACAGCAAGCCGGCCATCTCGGACGGCTCCTGCGCAAAGTTGGGGAGCTTGAGGGCGTCCTTTCCGTGCGCAACGAGCTGGGATTCTTGCTGGTCGATGCCGTGCTTGACGAACGTCGCCTGGGTGCCCTTGACGGTGAAGCGGAGCTGGGGAGAGACGAGGGAGAGGATGGAGCCTCGAGCGGTCGCGATGAGGGGGAGTTGGCGGCCAGGCTTGCCCTCCTGTGCGTCGTAGTGGAGGTGGATGACGAACGAGTCGGGCACTTCTGCGTGTCCGATCAAGCGCGAGTTGCGGACGAGGCCGGTGACTTTCTTGGGCGCGCCGAAGAGATCGAGGATCTGGTCGATGAGGTGGGATCCGAGGTCGAACGCTGCGCCAGCGCCAGGAAGGGGGGCCTCCTTCCAGAGCTTGGCGTTCGGGACGTTCTTGTAGCGGTCAAAGTTGGACTGGAACTCGGAAAGCTCGCCAAAGGTGCCGTCCTGGACCATCTTCTTGACCGTGAGGTAGTCGGAGTCCCACCGCCTGTTCTGGTAGACGGCCAAGACGAGCCCCTTCTCCTTCGCGAGCTGAGCGAGCTCGTATGCCTGCTGCGACGTTGGCGTCACGGGCTTCTCGACAACGGCATGCTTGCCCGCCTCGAGCACCTTCTTCGCGTACTCGTAGTGCGTGTCGTTGATCGAGAGGATCCAGACTGCGTCGACGTCCTCCGCCAGCGCCTGCTCAAGCGTGTTGACGACCTTGACGCCGGGGAAAGCATTGCGGGCCTTGGACTTGTCGGCAGTGGCGGACCGCTCAACGATGACCTTGAGGTCGAACTGGTCGGGGAGGGACAGGATGAAGGGGATGTGGAAGACTGTCGCCGACATGCCAAAGCCTACGACGGCAACCTTGATCTTTTGCTGAGCGGCCGACATGGTGTACGGGCGTTTTAAGATTCGGGCGATGAGGATGCGAGGTTTGCGAAGACGGGTCGAGGAAAGGTGGGAGGTGAACGCAGAGGCTCAACAGGTGAGTGTTAAGCGATCCGTCGTGTGATATCAAGCGCAGGAGGTGTATGAGAGCGGGAAGACGCTGTCAAGTGACGGCGAGAAGGTCAAGAGAAGAACTTGCCCTCCACCACGCTCGCCTCAGCTCGTGGTGCTGATCGATCTCGGCGAAGAGTGACGCGAACAGTTGCAGATCTCCGTGCGACAGCCCTCACACCGCTCAGAGCGCGCGACGACGCACCCGCACTCCCTCAACCTCGCTCGATGAGTCCCGCTCCTCGCGCGGTCCTGCTCGGCTCGTCGAACCTGCCGTATGCGCCAATCTCTCCCTCACCGTCAGCACTAGCGATCAGCGAGGACGGGCAGTACGCGGTGGTTGCGAGGGGGGAGCTTCACCTCCTCGTGCGTTCCTCCCCACCCTTGCCGATGCTTTGCAGGCTCAACGGCCTTGTGCTGACCATCTGCACGATCACAGACACCAACATTGGGCTACTCTCCGGCTCTCTCGGCTGCGTCAGCCTCGGTGCTCGCGAGCGGGACCTCGTCGACTCCCCTTCCGACAGCTGGGACGAAAGGCGGGCTGGACGCCGCTGGCGGGAAGGGCAAAGAACGGGAGCAGGACGCAGAAGAGTGGAGCTGGTTCAAGACGGGAATCTTGGTCGAGAGGAAGAACGTCGTCAAGTGGTCAGATTGGGTCGATGGTGCGCCTTGCTTCTCGCGACATGCCCTCTCAGGCTGATAGCCTTACACGATGCGCAGAGTACGACATCGACATGCCCGGTATGGTCGAGCCGTTCTGGCGAGCAGCCGCCTGGTCCCCTTCCGGCGTTTCGCAACTTGGCGGGTGCGTTTGAACGATCATTCGTTGCTCTGCTAAGTTACATAACCGCTTCCAATACCTCGCCGTGTCTGTGCGCACAGATGCATGCTTGCGACGATCACCACGAACGGTGAAGCGCTGCTGTTCGAGCCGAAGAAAAATGCAGTTTCTGGCGAATGGCGGGAGGTGCGTTCAGCTTCCCGGATCTGCACCGCTCGCGATACTAACCGGATTTGGGAACACTACAGGTAGACGACCTGACCTCGACACTGATCAAGGACACCGTTCCCAATCGTATGTTCTGCCGCCAGCCCGCTCGACTGCTTGCCGAACTGACACACGCGACTTCTGCTCCGATTTCATGCGACAGAGAGCAAGTACCCGGAGCAGACCGCGCACATGCGGCGCGACATGGTGGCTGCAATTCTTCGTTGCCAGTCCTCCGGTTTGTCCTGTTTTCCTTTCCTTCCGACTGTTGCGGCTGACAGTCATTCCCTCGTCCAGCCATCGCTTGGTCAAGCGCCGTCCCCGGACATGCTGGCGACGCGTCTATCCTCGCTGTCGGCCACAGGAGCGGAGAGGTGACGCTTTGGCGGTGCGTCCATTTCCTTCTCTTTCTGCCGTTCGCCTCGTCTTCGCGGCCATGCTGACGGAGTACAAGGAAACAGCGTCAATGAAGAGCGCAAAGCCAATCGCTTCAAGCGTTTCCGGCCGGCTAAGGAGGTCAACATCGTCAATCTTCTTGCTTGGTCCGAGTGGAGAGTCGGTACGTCCGCAAGCCTTCTTCCTCGGCTCGCTACGAAAGATGAAAGCTTACGGCGTCTCCTCCTCGCTGCAGACGGCACGACAGCCACTTCGCTTCTCGCTATCGCGGACGCAGACGGTCGCGTCTTCGTCGTCTCGATCTCGCAAGCGCTTGATGCCAGCGATGCGGGCGAGCCTCAACCCAGGACGATGGAGATCAGTGAGGCGATCATGGTCGAAGAGAACGTTGACGGGCGAGGAGCAACGCAGTTGTTCTGGCTCGAGGAGGAGGGCAAGCCGGTGCGTCGACGTCTGCCTGCTAAGAGCGCGCTAGTCGTTTATCGCTGACGCTCTTCGGATGCTTGTGGCTGTCGATCACAGATTCGCCTTGTCTTCTCCAAGCTCGGCACCATCAGCATCGCGACGCTTTCGTCCGGCTCGCGCAAGGGCAAAGGCAAGGCTGGCGAGGCAGCTTGGAAGGTCGAGAAGGTCGATGTCGTCGAGTTGTCGCCTGAAGGTATGGGAGAAGAGCGCTTCATGGGCGTGAACGGTTGGGCGGTTTGCAGCGGTGCGTGCGAGTTTCTCAGGCTGAATTCGCCGTCAGAGGGGCCTACAGGCTTCTTGAGCTGACTCCATCTCGCGTGCAGGCATCGCCTACCACGCCGCTTCCGACTCGCTCATAGTCGCGCTGTCCTCATCCTCCGTCTTCAGCATCGCCCTCTCCCCCTCACCGACTCTCGTCCGCGACTCAGCCGCGCCGGACACGCCTACCGCACAACCGAACTCTGCGCACCTCACCTCTCACGCCCGCGACATCTTCGAGATGCTCTACGCTCGCGTCAAGCTGCGCAAAGACCGCTGGACGCGCAGCGAGTTGGGCACTCACGTCACGACGGGAAAGGGGAAAGGGAAGGGCAAGAAGGTGGAGCAGACTCCGGCACTGGGCGCAGAAGTCTCGGAGGATGAGGGTGCACAGCAGCAGAAGGTAGACAAGAAGGCGAGGCGGGACGGAGCGAAGATTACTGGATGGGTTGGGCTTGGAACGGGGACGAGCGAACTGGACACCGCCTTCATGTTCGAGTGAGTTGCGCGCCATCTCGCTCACTGAGGACATCCTGGTCTGTACTCACGGCGCTTCCCGCAGATCCGTGCGACCGGACGGCTTCTCGTACCGCACTTACGCCTCGGAGCGTACTCATCTCGCCATCACCAACTTCGCCCTGCCCGCGACCGGTGATGGGGCGTCAGGCGAGTCTGGTGAAGCCGTTCTCGCCGAGTTTGAGGAGAAGCTGCGATCGCCCCGGAACTGTGCGTCTCGTTCACCGCGCCTTCCCAGATGGTGTCCTGACGCTACTATGTCGCTCAGCCCGCCTTTCTTCCCCGCTCAAGGTTCTCCGCCCACTGCTGCACTACCTGACGGGCCTTTCTACCGCTTCGGCCAAAGCCTTTATCCCTTCGCTTCTCGCCCGCCTCGATGCAGGCGGACTGGAAGACCGCGATACGCCCGTCTTTGATGCGGGACAAGGCGTGGCAGAGAAGCTCGAACAGACGTTGTGGGCGGATCAGGAGGTCGAGGTCGTCCGCTTGAAGGAGGCAATCGCGAGGGCAGTTGTCGTGCGTTGACGGCCTTATAGCACATTCGCTCGCGCTGACAGCCATGCCCGTGCAGCGCAAGAAGGAACTGCCGGCTGAATTGCTGCACGAGGCAACCTTGAAGCAACTCGAACTCACCCGCGAGCTCATCAAGGAGATCCTGTCGAAACTGGCGGCGATTCTTGGCTCCGAGGAGCTCGACGGTGCGCTTTCTAACGTACTACGGGGAGGAGCCTTGCAACTGACTAAGGGCGATTGTGCAGAGGCGGAGAAGCCGCTTCATGTCCGCCTTCTTCTCGCCTCGTCTGCCCTCCTTCCTCCGGCGCCAGACGCAGTCGAGCACGCTCTTCTGCCGCCAGACGCGCTTGCTCAAGCCTACGAGCAGCCCGACACATGCCCCGCATGCCGTGCGCCTGTCCCTCTCGCAAACACGCGGTTCGCCTGCTGCGAGCAAGGCCATCAGTGGGGTGCGTCTGCTGCCATCTCACCTAGCTTTCCAGTGCTGACAGCTTTCTTGCGCAGAACGCTGCTCGATCACCCTCTCGCTCGTCTCGACCGTCTCGGTGCGAACCTGCACGTCTTGCGACCGCAAGGCTCTCCTTCCAGGCGCAGTAGCGGGCGTGGTCAAGGATGGGAAGGTCGACGAGCTGTTAAAGAAGGCGACTTGCTGTTTGTACTGCGGCGGCAGGTGGATGAAGGTGCGGTAGGCGAAGCGGAATCGCTTGCAACGAACGCTTGTTGCCGACTCGCGAGAAGGCCTGGCAGCGCTTGCGTAGGAGCGAGTGAGCTCACGCGAAGACCTGCAGAATAGTGTCCATTGCTGCTTGCGTCCTCGAGCTCTACCAGCTTCCTGTTGCGGGCGGACAGCGAGTGTCAGAAGGGAAATACGAACGACTGGCCATTCCATCAGTCTGCGTCTTCTTCCGCCCTGCTGACTGCTTCACTCGCACCATCCGCCGCCCCGCTCCTCTACCGCGCCTCCGGCTCATAGCTCAGCACGAAGGGGAATCTCCTTGCCTTCGGCGTCAAGCTCCTTGTCAACGGGCAACTCGCCCGACTTGACGATCTTGACCTGCTCCTTCGGCTTGTCGCCGTGGCCCTTGGGCACGTTCTCGATGGCGTAGACGATGTCCATGCCCTCGAGGACCTTGCCGAAGACGACGTGGCGGTTGTTGAGCCAGCTGCGAACGCCAAGACAACGACAGAGTCAGCCCAGCTCGGTTATCGAGGTGTCGGACAGCAAGGGCGCCCGACGCACGAAGTCTCGACAGTCGTGATGAAGAACTGCGAGCCGTTCGTGTCGGGGCCGGCGTTGGCCATGGAGAGGAGGCCAGGACCGGTGTGGCGGAGCTTGAAGCTGTGGACCAACGACGGATCAATCGAAGGCCCGCTAAAGATAGATAGCGTGCCGTTGAAGCAGGTTCATCGCACAACTCACTTCTCGTCCGCGAAACGGTCGCCGTAGATGCTCTTTCCGCCAGTTCCGTCACCGCTGCGAGTACTGCGTCAGAGCGCGGAGGGATTCGTCGAAAGTGAGCGAAACGAACCGGGTGAAGTCGCCGCTGTGAGGTGGACACAGCAAATCAGCTTTAGAAGACGCGAGGATCAGGCAGCGGGCGACGAGCGTACCCCTGAATCATGAAGTTCTTGATGACGCTGCGGAAAATCGAAGACTAGTGAGTGGAAAGCTGAGACGACCAGGCGGAGAAAGCGGTTCGCAGACGATGTCTGCCACCGTTAACGCCTGAACGCATGCCAAGCGCAACTCACCGGTGGAAATGCGACCCCTCGTATCCGAACCCTGCCTCGCCCGTCGCAAGTTGCCGGAAGTTCTCAGTCGTCTGCTCGCCAGTCCAGTCAGTTCCCGTTTCAGCAGGGCTGGATTGGAGGACGAACCTTGGGGACGGTCTTGCCGAACAAGCCCATCACGATCCGGCCCATAGGCTTGCCACCGTGTTCGACATCAAAGTAGACCTGTCGCGGCGGAGAAAAAAGGCGGAAGGAGCAGAAGGCGGAGGAGGGAGGAGCGAGGAGAGGAGGAGCGGGTGGAGGAAAACAGGTCAGTATCGAGAGAACGCGCCGTCGCTTTGATCTTGGTTGTATCCGACAGCACGTTCCGATCCCTTCCATCTGTCCAGGTCGCCCCTTACAGCGAGATTCGCTTCCTCCCCACTCCCTCGTCCAACCCGCATCCCCTCGCGCACACCGCCCCCGACCGGCCTAGATGCAAGCTGAGCTGTCGCTACGCACCTTGTTAGTGATGACAGGGCCCTTGGCGGCAAGCGCGACGTTCGCGAAGACCGCGAGGAGAGTAGAGATGAGGGCGAGGGAGAGGAACTTCATGGCGAAGGGGGCGTCGCTGGGTCTGCGGGCGAGGAAGGCAGGCGTCAGAGAAGCGCAGAAAGCAGTGTGAGCAGAGCTAGGCGGCGTACGGAGCGAGCGGGTGAAGGAAAGAGGGCAACCGCGGACGTGGAGCGCTGGAGGAGAACGAACTCGCGCACAACCTCGTCGTAGGGCTCGCTGGCTAGCTAGAACAGCGCAGAGAACTCTCTCGGACGCGACTGTGACGCGACGAACGGACTACTCGAAAGTTGGTCGGGTTCGCACGTCCCCGTTTTCTATGCACAACCTCCTCGCTCGCTCAAACCCACCGCTTCTCATCCTTCACCTTCTCCTCAACCTTCTCCGTGACGCTGGGCTCACTCTTGACGCCCGCCTCGACCTGCGCTTCGGCGGGCGCAAGCAACGCCGCGATCGCCTTCTCGTCGAGCAACGCCTGCGCGGGAACGGCGAGTAGGGACTCGTCGATCTTGGGCGTCGGGGCGGTGCGGACTATAGTAGGAGTCGGTGCTGGAGTCGAGGGAGCTGTGGGCGATGGAGTGGCGGAGGGGGCGGAAGTCGGGAGGGATTCGGCAACGGGTGCGGGGAGCGGAGTGTCGACCATCGCTGCGGCAGCAGGGACGACTGGCGGGGCCTCTGCCGACTCTCCACCTGTCATCGGGACAGCCTTGCCCGACCCACCGCTACCAGCCTGCGCTAGCTCCTTCAGCAGCGCCTCCAGCTCACCCTTCGCCTCCTTCAACTCGCGGTCAAAGTCCGTCGTCGTCGGCTTTGCCTCGCTCAGTCCGTCCGCACGGT